TGACGAGATCTAGACGAAAAGAAAAACTTTTCTAGAGTCTCATATATGAAAATTTATGTAGAGAGTTTAAATTAAGTGAAAATACAATTTTTCTATTGTACAATATGAATCTTATTAGAATCTCATATGTAATTACTATTGTTCAGTAAAATTTTAATGAATCAAATAGTACTTTGTTATATAAAAGTTCATAAAGGTAAGCCAATTCAAATTATTGACATAACACAAATCCTATCGTGATATTTTAATGAGCAAGAAACGTTATCAGCATTACAACAAATCAATAAAAAAAGATAAATAAAACATGTATAGTATATACATGCTCAACATTTTCCTTTTAATAAAAAAATCAGCATAACAAAGTACTTAAATAGGTAATACATAGTTGAAAAGATTCACACAGACAATTGAAATATTTCAGTACATTACAATTATCTCCAGTATAATAGACAATTAAAAATAACTTGCCAAGTTCATGATTAAGCAACACTTATTTTCATATCTTTTTACTTCTGTTTCTTGTTTCATAAAATAATAGTAAAAAATTAATTATTTTCTTTTCTTTCTGTTACATCGATGAAACAATGATAGAGGATGTACACAAGTTACAATTATATTTAGATGAAACTAATTTTACTTATAAAAGGTTTAAAGTAGATTTTAGTCTCTGTTATTAATATTCAAAACAAGACACAAAAAATCTATTTATATATTTCAATAATTGTTGGTTTTTTTATAGAAAAAAACAAAATTTTTCTAAGAAACAAATATCAACAAAAATGTTTGCTGACTAAAGAAAATTTTCTTAGTTTTTTTTCTCTCTTCATGTTCTTCCAACAGAAACGTTCAGGCAACTTGGACTCGCAAAAAAAAAATGAGAGAATAGAGAAACAACAGCAACTGGGGCGTCACGTCGACGATGATGGAAAGTTAATCTTACTGAAAAAAAAAACGAAGGAAAAAAAGAAAAAAAAGAGAACGAAATAGCGCCTAACGCCGTTGGGCAAAAGGAGAAGATTCATCTATTCTCGCCTCGTTGCACGCATGTGTTTTTTTGCTTTGCTTTATATGTATATATATATGTGTGTGTGACAGGAGTCTTGTCTTTTGTTTGGTATAGATGAAGAAGGAGACGTGAGTATAACAAGCACGAACAATATATTGTAATGACAAAGTGCGATGTCGTATGTGAATAAAAGATAGAATGATTAGGAACGTTAAAGACTTGCATAAATTTATATATTTGTATCTATAACTTAAATCTACGTTCCCGACTTTTATGTTTATTGTTTTTGCGAAAAATACTTGATGAAAAACTAAAAAATTTTTATGAAAACAAGATCGAAACTTTTTTCGCTATTTTATATATATATAGATCACGATAGATTTTCTTATTTACGATAGTTAACTATTAAAGATACACTAGAAGATTTTTCAATTTATTCAAAAAACGTCATTCAGCGCTTTTTTTTTTTCTATATCAATGTATCAAAGTAATTATTAAATGCATATATCGGCTTATTTCCCTTGTGTTTATTCGAACTAAATGCTTGCCTTCATCGATCGGATGTATGCTTTAGATTAGACTCGTGCACAAACACATAGAACTGTAGATTAAATGAAAAGGAAAAAAAGTAAGTGTATATGCGGCATATGTTGAACCATTCGAATCGACATCAGTATCCTTTTTTTTTCTTCTCTTACTCTTTCTTATTCATTCCTTTCTTTTTCTTTTTTTTTTCTTTATATCTTTTCTTTCATCGAATGTTCATTGATGTTATTTATAGGGTTACATTTGTATGTTTGATTTCAATGTATTACTAATCAAACATTTGTTGTAGATGTTGACTCGTGCTCGATCTTTATTTCAACGTGTATTTTCATTAGATACACCATCATCACAAATTCGTCTTGATGATGTTTTTGATGATATCACAGATGATACAAGTGATGACAATGATGTAGACAATATTGTTGACGATGAAATTGATAATTCAACAAATGGTGTTGACAATGATGATGATGATGATGGCTTAAGTGACAGTGATGATGATTGGTCGAATGAATCTCGACAAACATCAACAACAAATGCAAAACTAAAAGGCAAATATGAAAGACAAATAAATGAATGTCCAACTAATTCAAATTCGATCAGTAAAACAAAATCAAATTTAAATTATACACGTTCACATGAAAAATCAAAGCAAAATCGTCTTATAAGTGCAATGCAAATAGCAACATCACGTTGTAATGTTGAATCAATGAAACGCTTATTAAATAATTTCGAAATTGATATTAATCATCGTGATCAATATGGTATGAGTTATTTAGAACATGCTATTCTAATGGGTAGCTTTGATATGGTTAATTTACTTATCAGATATGGTTGCGACTTATATCAAGGTTAAAAATTTATTTTATTTAAAATTTAAGAAACAAAAAACAAAATTAAACATTTATTATTTTATTTTTTTTTTCTAGGTGATTCAAATGGTCATTCATATTTATATGTTGCTATTGAAACTACAACAAATAAATCATTACCAATAATTCGTCTTTTATTAGAATCAAATTGTTCATGTTTACGTCTTATGGATATTGTTTCATTAACATCTCCACAACAACTTATTTATATAAATTCACAAGATTTTCTTTTACTTAATGCACATTTATTATTTATATTAAAATATCATATACGTCGTATGGTATTAAGTGATGTTTTAAATTTAGTAACATATTTAATAACAACAAATATATTACTTTGTAAAAATGATGAACATTATGGTCTTAGTTCATGTGCAAAAACAGCATTAAATCGTTTTAATAATGATTACATTCATTTATTTGTTAAAACACTAGGAATAAAACATGCATTAAAATTAGAACATAAAATTAACAATTTACAAACACCATCATCATCATTGATACCATTGGTTCTTGATGATATTCAACCATATATTAATCGAATAAATGAATTAATAAAACAAATACCTGAATTAAAACATTTATGTCGTTTATTAATTCGTCAGAATTTAAAAAATCTTAAATCATCAACATTAGAATCCATTGTATCAACCGCAAAATTACAAGACTATTTATTGTATACACCCATTTAAGCTTTTTCTTTTGTTTTTTACTATTATTTTTATTCTTGTATATGGAAAAAAAAAACGAGTATGATGAAAGAAAAAAAAACCATTGACACTAAGTGTCTGGAAACTAAGCAAGTGTTCTATAAAAACATATATATCTATAAGTAAGTTGGTTAGAAAAATAACTTGCCATTAACTGATTGGAATGATTCGGCATAGAATCAAAGCTGGGAAAGTCAAATGTTTGTCAAATCAAGCCAGACTTGACTTTGACTGGAGGCATTTTGTGACTAGACGTGCCTAGTTCTGCAGAAAATCATGACTTTTATTGTATGAACTTTATGAATTTATTTATATGAAAAAAAAACATTCATTCATTCATTCGTTTGATCTAGCATGATAAAATTGACAAGATCCATATTGATATCTGCCTACAATCATTCTGATGTATGAATTAATATCTATGCAATAAAGGCTTGCTTATTTTAATATTAAACAAAATCCATCTGTCTATATCAAGAAAATTATTCAAGAAAATTAAGAATTTCAATTAGGTGATCTATTATAGTTTTTTTACTATCAAAATTAATATGTTTTATAAAAAATAATAATTGAAGAAATAAGCATCTTTATCAATTAATGAAGCAATTGAAATACTAAAGGATGATGCAAAAGTTTCGATTCCTTTTAGTAAATCGATAATATTTATGACCGATCTATATATAGCTAAATGATTCTAACGTTATGATTATTTAAGCTAATTTAAGATGAATATTTTTATCTTACATTTTCTGAGAAAAACTTTTAATAAAAGATCTAAATGGTTTATTAGTTTGTCAAACTAACTTGTTACGTAAATCTTAATAATCAAATTTTGTCATGCGTTTGACCTTGTTTGCAACCTTTTTTGGAATATTGCTTATTATTATCCCACATTTTTCTATACTAAAATTTTTCCATTGATAAATAATTTTTTGTACGACATGTTCATATTTACTTTAAAAATTTTATATTAGCCACACATTTAGTCTATTTAACGTTGAGATACATACTGGAATTTTTTTTAAATAAAACTATCAGAACGATTCAATCCAAGTAATTAGCAGATGAAAGCATGAATTGAAAACAGTAAGCTTCATTTAATGAGACTGTCAATATGAAAGTCTTTAACAGTATGAATAGTGTTACAAAACTACAATCATAATCAGCAAATATGATAAGTATTATTCTATGAAAATAATAAGTCTTAAATAAAACCTATGCAAGCAAAAGACCTATAGCTATGGTGAGAAATTTGTTTTTAAGGTTTTCCTCAAAAATGTAAGATGAGAATATTCACTCGTAAGTAGTTAAAATAATCGTAACATCGGAATCAATCAACTATGTATAATTTTGTCATGGACACTATTGAGTTACTAAGACGGGACGAAACTTTTGAAAATAAAAATTTCTGACTATGAAGTTTATAACAAACGAAAGGCAATTGCAGTTATTAAACGATATTACTCTCTGGCATTGATCTCATATGTGAATGGCATAAAAATTATTTTTGTTAGTTTCGTAATCTTACTTTTAACAATAAAATAATCTCTAAACTCATACGTATCATATTTCTCTTTTGATAAATAGGTGATTAGCTTTTTTTTTTTTGAAACCGATGCTTAACATGTGATACCATCAATGTATTATAATTCATCTTAAAAAAAATTCTTGAAGAAAGATGATTTTATAGAATATTTTTCGTCTCCTCGTTGCTATCGAAAATCCATAATTAATTGATTTCTTCTTTATTATATTCTCAAACAAAAAAAAATAAATATAATACAATACAGAGCATTGTCCATAAAGAAGAAAAACAAAAAAAAAGAAGATTAAAAAAATGAATTCTACATTGTTTTCCTAATTATTTTAATTGAGCATAACTGATTCATATGTCGGTATCATATATCTACAAGAAAAGATTAAATATAAAAAAAAATTCTTTCTTAAAAAACATAGGGGTAGTGATATATACTTGATATTAATGAATGCATCTTCACCACCATGTCGCTCAAATGCTTCAAGTGTTTCATTTATTAAGTCTCCAATATTTTCACGTCGTTGTTGACCATATTCGATTCCATCACCCAAATTTGCTTTAGGAAAAAAAACTCATTCATTAAGACAAAAAAAACACGATACAAAAGAAGTTTACTTACAATTCCAATTTTTAAATAAATTAAATATTGGTAAAATTTGACGATAATATGGTACAAGAGCTTCACCGATCATATCAGCTGACATAACTAATTGTTGTAGAATTTTTAATGTTGTACATATAACTTTATGATTTCTTGTATTTAATGCATCTAAAATATAAAAATTTTATTTGTAAAGTTTTACTTTCATAAATTTTACTTTTAATTGGTACAATAAGTTGTGGAATAACAGGTAAAATTTTGTTTCCACCATGTTCTAACATATCATGAATACCTTGACGAGCAAAGAAATCATATGGATGTTCAATTTCACAAAGACCATCAAAAAATAATGGTAAATAATGATGATAATCAAGTTTTTCAATTTCCACCTAATTTGATTATATGTAAAATTTTAAAAATGAAGACATTTTTTTTCTCTAACTACCTTCCAAGCAATTTTATTTCCTTTGGTATCATGTTCAAGGGCAATTGGAAAATCACCACGTTCATAAAATTTACGAAAAGCAGTTGGTTTGCTATTACGAATACGTGTTGCTTCTGCTGATGGTGGAGCATTTACCTATAAAATTTATTAAAAACTTTTAATATATCAAGAAAAATAAATAAGTACTTTAGCATTTTTTAAAAGAGATTTCACAGTAAAACCATCGGTTTCTAAATGTCCAGCGGGACGGACACGAGAATTTGTTTCACGACGAGATAATGTGTCTACAGCCATGATTTGTTGTCGACTTGTTGAGAGTTGCAATTTTACATAAGTGACATATTCTTTCTCTTCTTTCTTTATACTGTTTATTGACAACGACCGTCAGAAATACTGTATTGCCAAGAAACAATCCTCCTCTTCCTTTACTTTTTCATTGATAAAACGACATCTGTTGTTTTTTTAAGAAACATAGGCCAAGGTTTTAGAGACCTATGCAATATAGACATTGTGAATCTACAATTATCGATCCGAATTCGATGAAAATACGAGACTTGGTTCGAGAATGAATATGGTTGAATTGATCGATTCCAAGTTTACAAAAACGTGCGTTCGACGAACTCTAACCCTTACTAGAAATATACACTACGCCAAAAAAAACCAAAGCGCGACGATCAGCGGTCATATCTAACGCTAATTAGAGAAACGTTTTTTGTTCTAATTCTTTTTTCATACTTATGAAACTATACTATTTCTTTAAAGATAATGTTTCATTATTGCACATTCGCGTAATGATTTTTGCTACAATGGTAAAATGATTTGAGAATCAGAAGTAACTAATCACCAACGTTAACTGATTGACGAAAATGACTTTTTTTCTGATAAGAACTACTATTCTGTTATATTCATCTGTCATCAATATGGAACAAAACTGGCACAAGTCAAGCAAAGCATAATCTTTACTTCAATCATCACATATGCATATGAATGTGTATAACATCAAACGTATTACTATAGAAAAGAAAGAAAGGTAATATAGTTTAAAGGCTTGATGATATTAAAATGAGACCATAAATGAATCCTTTTCATTCTCGCACTTGTCTTTATATTTAGAATACGAAGCTAACTGCTAATTTTATTTTGTCACATCTTTCATTATTAATGTGTGAAGAAATAGTATAATAAAGAATTAACAGATTAAATAGAATACATTTCATGCTTGTTTTCTAAATGTTTAGATCAGACATTTTTCGATTCTCTGATTGAATTTACAAAAAAAAACAATCTATTCTTTGTCCCTTACTAAAAAAAACGAATTTCATTTATTTTTCTTGTGTATAGCTTACTATATCACAAATCTACTGTAGAATACTATGAAAAACAACAAGTCACACGAAAAACAAATAGAAAACAATGAGTAGCATTCGCAAGAATAATAATCAGGAGAAAATGTATACAAAAACAAAAAAGAGACAACACAGAATATAATCTAATACATGTAAAAAAAAGACACACAATTGTTAATACTGTGTTTGTGTTTATATTAATCTTTTGATCAATGTTTGGCACTAAAAGGTTTCTTAGGTGAATCAATAGAAGCTGGTGAATGACCACCCCAATATTTATTCATATTTTGTTGAGCACGTTCAAGTGTTTGAGATGCTAAACTACAACTCGATGATAATGATCGAGCAGAATTAATCGAAAGAATGTCATCATCTAGTCAAAAAAAAGAAAAGTAAAATATAGAATTAATTATTATTTATATAATTTTACCTTTATGACGTGCATTAGAATTCTGTTCAAAACGTTCATCTAATCTATCTAAATGAACTTGAAATGGTGTTGTTGATGTTGGTGTATATTTTGGTTGATGATTATCATCATTATTATCTGTTATTTTATCTTTATATTGATTACCGTGATATGAATGATCTAAAACACATGTTCATAAAAACATTAAAAAAAGAAGAAAGTAATTGAAAATACTAACAATCATTCATGCTTGTATGAGGTCGTGTAGGTAGACGTTTATCAAATATATGTGTATCATCACTTGATCGACCAGCAGCATGTCGTGTTTCCTGAAAACTTGTTGATGGACGGATAATATCATTGTGCTAGATTTCAAGAAACAAGATAAAAGAGTATTAAAAATAGGTCAATGAAGATTTATTTTTTCGTTTTACTTGAACTGTTCGTTTATTTGTATGTGGTGATGTATAAATATGATCTAAACAGAGTAGTTGATTCCTTTAAAAAAACAATTTTGGTTCTTTTTTTCTCTAATCTTACTTGTTTGTTGTCGTTCATTAATCAATGGTGAATGAGCACTTGTAGCTCGATTGTCTTGTTTTATTGGTGATGCTTTTCGAATAACATTTGATTCACCATTTGTATAATGTTTTCGATGTAAATCTCGAGCAATATTTGATTTAAAATCTCTATTACAATAAAAAGAAAAAAGAAAGATTTCAAAAAGAAAAAACAAAATTCAAATACAAACATATCCGAATTTGTTCTTTGAGTATATAAACTTTCGGAATCCCATGACATATGTTGTTGAACAGATGATGAATTTAAATTACGTACAAATGCTTTAGTTGCAACACTTGGTACTTTTGGTATTGGTTCATCAATGTAAACAACACGATCAACTTGATGATCAGTTTGTGCTATTCCATCAGTCTTTGTTCCTCCTGATGGTCGTTCATATTGTTTATCCTGATAATGATGAATTTTTGATTGAATACGTTCATCGATTTGTCGTTGAATTTCTCTTTCACGTTGACGTCGACGTTCTAAATCACTAAATAAATGAAATGAAAAAATTTTTATTTGTAAACATTTTATTTTCATTATTTACCGATCAATAGAAATAACACTATCAGTATCATTATCATTATTTGTATCCCATGCAAGATAACTTTTTGTTCCACCATAACCTGTTTGTAATTGTAGTGTATGATTACGATTAAAATGATCAGCTTCTGCATTAGCACGATATTCATCAGCTCGTTTACGTGTTGACATTAATTCTTTATACCAAAATAAATTTGGATTAAAACCTACTTCTTCCTACATGAATAAAAATAAAAATAAAATTGAATATGAAAATTGAATTACTAACTGCTGCAGCATCTTTATACCATTTGCCATTTTTATAATCAAAACGCCAAAAAGGTTTATATGTTGTTTGATATTCAGATTTCCAACGTCTAAAAAAAAGACTCTTATTTTGTTTTTGTTTTTTTTTTATTCGGATTTAAAATTATTTATTCAAACCTTAAATTTCCATGTGAATGTTTTTGTTGAAATTCGTTTCCTAAATCAATATTGCTACCAATACCTTCATCATCTGTATGAGCATGTTCAGCTTTAGCAATTTCTTTTCGTTTCTATGAAATAAAATTTGAATTAAAAAAAAAATCAAAGATTTATTGCATCAGAAATAATTTACTCGTTCTTCAGCTTGTTCTGCTTCAAATGCTTTACGTGTTCGAGGTTTTTTTTGATTAACTAGTGGTTTATAACGTGATTGATATTCAGATATTTTATCATTTTTTAATTGAATTGAACTTATTGGACCAGTAGCACTTCGACTTACTTGTGGTTTAGGTTTATTAAAATCAATTTCAACACGTGCTGGTGTATTAACAGCAACAGACACTTTTTCATTGAGAATTTTTTCAGATGGATCAATAACTGTCAATGGTAAAGCTGGATCTGAACGTCGATCACGCTAAAAGAGAAAGGAAACTTTGTTTTTTTTTTTATTTTAAAAACGAACCACTTTTGATTCATCCACAAGCATTTGATCACCAACTAAATCTCCTAAGGGTTGTTTCCAGTTATATTGTTGTTGATATTCACTTTGTGGACCAATACGACTCTATGATATTTAATATACAAATTAGAATAAAAATTTATTATTCAAGTAAAATCATTTACTCGAACAGGAACAACTTCGCGTCCATATTTAGGATCAAAAGATACATATGGTGCTTTTTGAGATTCCTAAATTTTGATGATCATTGGAAAAAATATTAGGCTTCATTTTTAAATAACTTACAGTTTGAATACCACATGAATGATTTTCATGTTCATGTCGCCGTGCTGGAATCTATATTTAAATTTGAAACAAAAAATTTTATTGATTTTTTTTTATTCATTTATTTTTGTAATACTGTAGGTCGATATTTTTTGTCAAAATCTGAGAAAAAACTTTCTCAATGATTTGATTTCTTTTGTCTTTCATGTTCATGCTTTTAAAAAAGAACGACATACATTCTATATGAGTTTTTCTTTTCATAAATCTGTTTAACTAAAGAAATTGAGATCCTTAATCTTTAGATAAAAGTAACGAAAAGTGAAAAAAAATGACTTTTTTTTAACATAGAAGACATTAAAATTCATGGAATCCTTTTAAAACATTTCCTGTAGATGTTTTCCAATTGCTAAAACTAGCATACATGCAAATATCTATAAAAATTATTTTTTGAGATAGTGAGTGACAAAATGGATCTAAGGATCTAGAGAATTCCTTTTTCCCTTTCAAAATAGAGACTTTTCATACAGTTTTAGTAATACTTCAACATACAACACCAAAATTATTATTTATCTATTGCACATTCTTTCTACTGATAAGACACAGTCATAGTTCATGACATGATCGAGTCAACTCTTCTGTGCTATTAATAATAATGCAAATCATATTATAAATTCTCAACATATCATTAGATCTATACATTCTGTAATTCAATATTGATTTCTTACTCTTGATGAATCATCCGATATTGGTTTTCTCATTGGATAGATAACATTATCTTGAAATTTTTCATTTCGTCCTAAAATGGCATATTCACGTGATTTCTTCATTCGAGAATTATCTTTAATCGGTTGTCGAAGTCGATAAAGATGTGAATTTGAAAATTTTTCATTTGGACCAATAACCGCAAAATTATTATTATTTCGAATAGGTGATGTTGGTAATGAACGACCACGACGACGGGATGGTGATAATGATGAATGTCTTATTGGTACTAAAACGAAAAGAAATTAGTTATTAAGAACTATTAAATAAAATAAGATAAACCATCATGTAATTTTCGTTCTACATGTGTATAATCATCAACTTTTCTCGGTGTTCGTTTTTGAAAATTTCTTTGATATTCCGTCTAAATTTCACAAAAAAATTGCGGCAAATAAATTTTTTTTATTTTACTTACTTGATACTTCATTTTGCGGTAAAAGAAAAAATACAGATACCAATAACCGCCATTCTTTTACTCTTCATGAACAAATTGGTTGTCATATGAGCATAACCCAACAAAAATAAAGTCGTATATTATTTCTCATTAGAAAAAAATGATAATTTTCTCCTCTAATAATAAGATTCATGTTTTTATTTTTTCAAATGGATCTTTAATAAAAATAAAAATCCAAGACTGACATCTATAAATTAAAAATTGAACAAAGAAACCTCGTTTTAAATTTTGTTTTCTTATATCATATCATATATTGGTAAAGATCATTTTTTTAAAACAATTACCTATATCATATTAAAATTTATCGTTTTATGAATTTCATTATCAAAATCTAGCTAATTTTCATATAGATATTAAATCAATGAATTCTAGAGCAAGTAAACGTATTGTAGAACCTTATCTATTAATAAGCGAAACAGATAAAGAATATCATGATATGAAGAATTACAATTATGATTATAAACTCTATAGAAAATATAAACAATTAAAACAAATCAATAAAAGGTTACACGAAAAATCATTAATCAACATTGTTCTGGTTGTAAATGTTTCAGTCAAATAAATGAAAACAAACATATAGCTACACATGAATCTATCGTATTTGTTGATTCAAAAATTTCGTCAATAACAGAAAAACAAGAAAAAAATGTTAATTGATTTTGTTGAAATTCATATCTTGAAAATTTTTCTTTTCAATTTAACTTCAATTAATATTTAAAATAACTTAGAAAGTTCATTATATGATAAAAAAATGAAGAAATAGATGCAGAGCAAGAAGAACGTGAATATAATTTACATATACCATTTGATAACTTAAAAGTTCTTAGCTATTCATTTATTCAAATGAAAGACGAATAGTAAACAATATTTTTTCTTATAGTTATTGAAGGATGATCGTTTTTTCTTTGTTTTACTGTTCAATTTGTTAGATATCGGCTTTAAAAATCAATTGTATTGATTAATTTCAAGCTTATTCTAAAAAATTGTACTATATCGACAAACTCATTCAAGATAAAGAAGATTTATGTTTAAACATGAAGAAAATTGTTGAAATTTTAAACTGAAATTTAAAATTTTAACATTTGTTTTTTTTCTTTTGAAGATGATAGTTTGTCTCGTTTATGCTCAACATTACAAAAGAGTAATTGTATTTTTGATCACCAAATTTTATAGAGAGGTGTGATTTTTCATCACCTCTTGTTTGTTCGTCATGCACTTACATTTCATTAGGGGGCATCCATAAAGTTAGTTGTACCATTACAATCATGTAGCTGTCCTATTGGCATTAAAGAGTATTCATGTAAACATTCTGTTGGTTTAGCAATTATATTTAACATGTATCAAGTCAGCGACAAAACACGTATTCAACCATTAGATAAACGAAAAACAAGAGAACGTCCCAAGAAAGTTAGCACAGCCTTAAATTTGTAAATATATATTAATAAAAATAAGAATATTGTTTACTTTGTTAATATTTCAATGAATATTGTTTTTTTTTGTACATTGTATTTTATTTTGTTGAGAAATAAAAATACGAGAGGCATTCTAAAAAATTTGGTGATCAAAAAAATTGCTATCCATTACAAAATATAAATAGGGTTGTGTCTAGCCATTTGTCGATATCTAATTAATAGATCACGTTCAGGATTTGATTCTAAATCATCAAAAGTTACTGTTCATTCATTTATTATCGATCAAATTCAGCCTGAATCAACTGATTATGAAGAAATAAACTTACGTATTCGTAATGAGTTACTCGAATTACATTATTGAGATATTGAAAAATTAATCTTAAGTCAAGATGACAAAATTCCTTCGACAAGAAGTCTACGTCAACGAAAATCACTTTGAAAACAAAAATGAATTGTAAACGTGTGAATTATTTCTTTTCTTTTTCTATTCAGTACTTATCAAAATTTTTTTTTTTTGGTGATGATATCATATAGAAATTATATCTAAAATAAATTATTTCATTCAATAAAATATAATGAAAAAATCCAAAAAGTTTGATAGTACAGATAGTAAAGATCATAAAAAGAAAACATTTGATATTTCACGACTAGCAAGATAATTTTATGCATAAAGTACGTCAGGTGATTTATCTTAATAACCATTTAATAACGATTCAGTATACTAAAAAAATTAACACTTGAATTAAATTCATTTTTACTTCTTCAAATATATCTCTAAGCGAGAATAGTTTGTAGTATTTACTGCAAAATTCCCTTAAAACGCAGGCCTTCCTATAGAATTCTCAAGTGACATGAAACAATATTTCATCCAATGTCACATTGCATGCTATTATGATGTAAGTTTTAGATTATACACAGTACCTCGTATAACACAGCATATCAAGAAAATCTTTTTCTCTTTTTAATATTATAATAGCATTTTTATAATTAAGAGTCTTCAAAAAAAAATATGATCTCAACTATCTTGATATTATTTTTTGAAATCTGATAAAAAATTAATCAACAAAACATTCTACTATTTCGTCATTTAGGCAGGAAAAATGTCCCTAAACAAAGTATCTCTGGATATTTACAATATTGGTATGAATAATATGCAATCATAAGTATGTTTATTTTGAATAAAACAAGAAAAAAAAATTGAATTTTTTTTGTTCTGATATTAATAATAAGTGCTGCTTAAGAGTTGAAAATCATTGATTAAAATACAAGTTTATTTCATCAAAAAATATTTTGAGCACTGGATTTCAACATATACGTATACATATATATATATACAAAACAAACATTGAAACGAAAAAAAAAAAAAGAAAAACAATATACTTTGTTCTAATTAATAAAAATAAGGTATTAATAGATGTAGAGAAGGAGACTTTTTTTTCTTCATATAACAAACTAAATATTAAAAGAAAAAAAAAGAAGAAGATAAAAGAGATTAATTAATTTGATCTATGTTAAATTATATCGGGTAATTGACATGAAGCAGATGTTTCCGGTTTAATACACATATTACACATAGGACATGTACAATTATGTTGTAACCATGGCGATAGACAACGTTTATGAAATGCATGTTCGCATGGACATACAGCTATTTCTTCATCATCATAAAAATCATCCAAACAAATAACACAATTCTGAATAGAAAGAGAATAAACAAAAAAAAATGTCTTCATAATTGTTGTTTTTTTTTTCTTATAAAATAAAAACTTACGGAATTTTTAACTTTACATCGCATATATTGATCTTTTCGATAACCTTTTTCTCTAAGTGTATCTCGTCTTAATCTAACAAGAAAAAAAAAAAAATTTTAATTTTTAAGAAAAATAAAAATTTACCGCCATAAATAACAGCAAAAACATAAACTTAAACAAAGAGTAGTTAAGCCGACCCCAAATATGGGTAGTGAAACAGTATTTGGTATTGGCGTTAATGTATTACCCATCTATTTTTACTACAGTGATAAAAATTAACAAATACTTAAGCAACATTCCTGTTTCTTTTTCTTTTCTTGACAACGGTTAATAAAAATAATAAAGCGACAATAACATCGACGTCGCCCTTATATATGTAATCATAGTTATTATTTATTATGCTTGCTTCTCTTTTCTCTTCAAGGAAATAAGACTGGTTTGTCGTACTAATCAAAATATGATTCATATGGATATATTTTTAAAAATAAAACCTCATGTTTCAATTTTTAAAAAGAATATCTGATTTGTAGTATTTGTTTGTCAGCAAATTCTAATTGTAATTATTTTATTTATCTAGAAATCATGAACTAAACAATGTGCGACATCTACTTCTTGTAGACTATACTCAAACCAATTCATGGTTTGTTTTTTTAAACTGATTCTTATCTAGTTTTCATTTGATATCTAAGTAATCGGATTAATATATGAGAAAATAAGATTTATGTTGCACTTTCATTCTCAGAAATCAACTACGACATTTACTGAGACAAAAGCCATTGAGTATAATAACCATCAATGTTGTCTACTATCCAGGTAGTTGATATTTTCAACTTTTTTTATTTCTTATTCATATTAATGCTTTACGCCTAGAGTTCTTCGCCTATAGTCAATTTCATGATGTGATTATTTAAATGTAGACAATGAATAGAGTCCAAAGTAATCTGACGCTATATATATTTTTTTTTTATCATGAAAGTTTTTGTTTGTCTCTAACTGACTTTCGTGCAAAGTGTCGAACAACGATTGTAAATAATACCTGAGATAAGATAGAATCGTTTTGCTTTTATATAATTTTTGCATTTCTTCATATGTCTATGGTTGATCGGTTTCGAAGTAGCACGTAATGTTTCCTGTATGTCGACATTAAATTTTCTTCCGATTACAGTTCGAAATTATTGGTATGGCTGATTCTTTTTAACTAATAATTATTTAATCATATGAAAAGTATTTCTACTTTTTTCTTGAAAATAAATATAAAAAGAAGACGTTCGACTGGTTGAATATCGGTCAGAAAGGACTATATGTCTCTTTCATATTTGATGTATTATTTTTGTTTGTACAATATTGATTGAAATAATAATACAAAAGAAAACAATTCAATCTTTGATAATTTACCAAGAAAATGCCTGAATGTAAATAGAAGACCGATGAATTCCAGTGTACAAACAAAAATAATGACACTATTTTTTCTTTGTTCACGTTTTTGTATTTACTTCTTGTTCACTGTATAAATGTTTGAATCAACGAAAAGATCGAATCAGTTGTTTTTTCAAGACAGACATTTTACAGTGATCTTCTCAACGACTCTGAGGAAATTTATGTTTCATTCACGATCATCTTCCTACACTATCATCAATTTTTGAGTAAAAGTAACAGTCTATGTGAAAGAAGACAGCAACATCTGACTTTGATCGATTTTTTTTCTGATGAACAATCGCTTATCATGATGCTATTAGAAGTTAATTTTCAATCGATTCTATATGAGTTTTTGATTTGAATTCATTTTAATCGATTATTGGACTTTAACTGGTTTTAATACATTGAAAAAAATCGATAAATAATCAGTTTTTGATGGACTAAACTCTATAATATAGTCGATACTAATCTCATTTATCGTCATTTTGTATTATTTGACTAAGTTCAAGTTGAAATGTGTATCTCAAAGTGTAACTTGTGCGCTAAAGATTGGTCATGTATGATGCTTATCATTTGTTGGAGCAAGTTGTGCGAAAGACAAGAGAAGAATGTGTTTGATGGTTACTGTAGCTAAAATCAAATGAAAAAGTAAATAATCGATTTCAATAGATCCATAATCAAATGATGTGCCTAAAATCAAATTTGTTGGCCTTTTTTTTAAACATGGATAGCACATGGACATCCACCGCAAAATTGGATCAGCTCAACTCACGAGGAATCGTGATTCACAGTATTCTACAATTCCTTTGACAAGAGAAGTGCAATTGAATACGACTGACTGTTTCCGTCAAACATGCATGAAACATTTCAGTTAATGAGATTGAATATTCATATATTAGTCTTCTTTAACTTTTGAAATAATCTATGACTGGTCAATCGAATTCATCATCTAGAAAACTTATTTTGAATGTGATTATTCATTAAAACTCCTACTATGAATGACGGTTGTCTACTAACTTTTATCTGAGATTTATTAACGAATGTACAGCTCAAAAACTAAATAATATGTACTAAAAATAAATCCGCTGTTGACTTCAAGAAAGATTTCAGCATTTTATGATTAGTACCTTTTTCTCACATGAATAAAGATTCAGCAAAAAATTATTCGAACTTTCCTATGGAAGTATATCTTACCTTAGTTATAGTTTTTTTTATCCAGTGCAATGATAACATCAATCAATTAAATTTGATATTTCTCTATTCAGAAGAAGTGAAAAAATGATCATTTCATAGGCAACTATTAGAAACGAATGGGTGCAGAAAAAAGATGTTTTATTTTTAATTAACAATTATATTTTTTTTACAAAAAAGACACGGTCCACTTGCTGTTGTTGTATTCATTCGTTCATCAATCACAATATCCAAAACATCACAGCCACCTCTTTGTGGAACTTTTTTTCTTAACCAACTTTTCCAACATTTTTCATGATATTGTTTAAAACAATTTGCTGTTTCACAATAAATAATTGTTCCATTCATGTCAATCGTTGATTCATAACATATTCCACATTCTTGTTGTTGATCATCTGTAGTTTGAGATTTTGATTTAAAAAAAATATTGCTTGGAAATGTTATATCGAGCATATGTTCCATATTTAATATTATATTTGAATGTGCTTCATTCCAATGATTACGATTTTGTTCAAGGCGTTCATCAAATGATCGAACAAGCATTGGTGGACCATGAAAAGTGATCGAAGGAAATGCAGATGGATTATATGGATCAATCTAGAATTTTAATTTCAATTCATTTTTACGAAGGAATTACCCGAAATAAATTATAACTTTGGTGATGATATTTTTCCCGTTCATAAGATCCAGTACGACTCGAAAAAATTTAAAGAATAACAGTGCATAGTTCTGTCTTCTCAAATTAAGAATTTCGATCTGAAATTTTCTCTATATTTAGATCTCATGACTGTCGTAGCGACCAAAATGTTACAAACAAAAATGAATGCAATCTTTACACTATTATTCTTTTAGATTTTTTTCTAGTTTTGCTGGATTCTACTTATGCCAAAAGTATCAGCACAAAAGTTCTAAATCATTTGAGGCCGTTCCATCGTTAGGATTAAATGCCGAACCTGAATTTGAACATGTACATTATCATTAATTTTTAAACGTCTTGTTGTTAATGCATATGAAATAGGTTTTTCATCTAAGACAATAGCATCTCGTTCTAATTCAGTTAATTGAGCCCAAAATGATTGTAGACTATCAACAACTGAATGAAAATTATTAATTATTTCAATAAGACGACTCGTTTTTGGACACCATATTTCAATATTAAATTCAACTGGAAGATTGGTATGACAATGTGGCCGTTCATTTGGCCATCGTGGTGGTATATCAATATATAAATCATGTGAACGATCTCCTAAATCAATATATGTATGATGAAGTATAAGAATTGAGCCATCCGATGAAGTAGAAAGTCGTATTAATGACCAACTAATTTCTTCAATATGAGAAAGAAGAAGAAGAAATGATTGAGCATCATGTACAAATTGAGTAAAATTTGATGATGATGGACAACTATCAAAGACGTTTGTAGTCGGTGAAGTAAAATTAGATAAAAGTGAATTCATATCTAAATGACAAGGCATAATAATTAGACTATAAGTAAATGAACAATATTATGAATAATCATTTAAATGTCAAATAATTATTTCTTTCTAAATATTTTCTCTAGTTTGTTATTTAAAAATTCTATATATTGAATATTTACATCAATTTGATTACAGATGGCAGAGATAGAACATATGATAAATCATTTGCTAAATAATTTTCTAAAAACTGATACTTGGATATTTTCAAACTGAAAATTACTGTAAATTAAAGTTAAAGCAATCCTTTGATGTTTTTTTAATTCTAAAATATCTTTCAAATTAACAAAAATTTGAATACAAAAGATTCCTAGATACCTTGTTTTTTTAGAATCAATCGTGTTTCATCACTCGAAATTGATGTGTGCATTACGTACAGATATTTATATTTAAATAATATATTGCAATAGTTTTTCATATGCTAATTGTTAGTTAATCTGTCAAAATCACATTAAGTCTATCAGAGTATTTCTTCTAGTATGAATATCAATTTTTGTACGAATTATTAGCAACAATAATAGCTTCTTCAAACATATTTGATCACTTATAATTTTTCTATTAATTTAGCCAATATATTAAACAAGATTTTTTTCATGTATCTTATGTATTTTTGTTTTTTTGAAAACAACAAAAAAAGCCAAAAAAAAAATTGACAAATTCTACTTTTTATCATAAATTCCTGGTATATCAACAAGAAATTTCTTTGCTTTAAATTTTCTTTTAAAAACTTTGTTATGTATTGGTGGTTTTTTCCAATATTCTAAATTTTGTACTCGATCTTGTAAACGCAAAAATGGATCTTTTTCATATTGTTCATGTGTAAATACATTATGTACTTTTCCATGTCGAAGCATATTTTGTTGAATAAATGTTGGTGGTGCTAATGGTTGAATATTTTCACCTGGCATATAGGGATTTTCTTTTTGTTTAACTTCATCACCACGTACAGTTGAATGTACATAACCATCTGTACGACGATAAGCAACACCCGAATCGCTCAAAGTTTCTTCACCAAATGATGTTTGAGTACGATGAGGTTGAAGACGACGATATTGATAGGTGTTTTTACCTAATGGGAAATAACCTTCTTTATTATTATGTTCCCATTCAGTTTCAAATTGATCTATATTAACTATTGAATCTGATATGTTTTTAACATTTGATTGGATTTTTTGATTTTTATTATCAATTGATTCGAGTGTTTTATCAGATTGTGAGTCGATTTCTGGATATTTTTGTTCAGCACCTAAAATTTAAACATTCGAACTATGAGCACATATAAGTATGTTATTTTTTTGCTTAATCAAATAAACACAGACACACGCATAAATCTTTTATTTTCTTTTTTTTTTTTACCTATTTTAAACATAATCGGGTGTCCATGTTGTTGTAAATGTTCTAATGTTAATCGAAATAATTTTAAATGTGACATAGGAGTTTTTTGTTTAGATTTTAATTTAAAATATTCTTCAATAAATACTTGTGATCGAGATTTTCTATCATGATTTTTTAATTTAATTATTTCTCCATCTTCAACATCTTCATAATAAGCATGTCTTATTATATCTTCATCATATAATAATTTTGGTGGTTCATACGGTTTTGGTAGATCACCTTCTGTTAATGATAAATAACGTGGTTCACGTATCGGTGGAAAACGTTTATATACTGAGTACCAAATGGGTATATCTGTTGATTTTAAATGTCCACCTTCAATCATACCTGATAGACGAGAAAAAATTGAGCCGATTTTCCAAAGCCGACTCATGACGAACAATAATCTAAAATGATCGATTTTAAAAGGACACCCTAGAAATGTAATAAAAACGATGAGCATATGTCAATAACAACGACAATAATGTTTTCTTCCACTCTTATTTCTTTTTCTTTTTAACGAACATATTTCTTTACTCAGCGACAATTTTTTTTTTATTCATTTTTACCTTTTTTCTTTCGATTATTAAATCAACTATGTACTTCGTCTTTTCATCTATTATTATAGACAAGCTAAGAGAAACTATGCTGTTGTTTGGTTAAATGTAGATGTATTAAACGGATGCAAATGAAAACATACGAATAAAATTTTAACAACTGTTATTAAAAAAAGAGAATGGCTGCTGCTGTGACGGATGTTTTCGTCAGTTCGTCATCTATGTAAGTAATATAAATGAATTTTTTTGACAAATTAATAAAAGAATAAACTTTTAATATTAATTTCTAGTCAGTACAAATCTTCAAATCTAATAATAGACTACAAGTAGTGTTTGACAATCATTGTTGAGAAAAGAATAGACCTCAATTTTTTAAAAAGATTACCATCAGAACGTCTTAGTATAATCTTACATCTAAAAAATTTTCAGATACATATAGTGAATTTCTGATTAAGACAGTAATAACAAGTAAAAACTTTGAATTTATTTAAGGACGAATCTTGTTTTCGCCTTAAACCAAAACTATTTTTTACATAGTTCGATATTTCTGACATACTTCTACAACACTCAAAAGACACGTTTCTATTATGAAGAAAAACAATTGATCCCATTAATTGATCATAAAACCTTTGAAAGAAAGAAAGAAAAAAAAAGTTTGATAGAATCATTGAGATTTACTGTTATACATTAACAAATCAAACGAAAAACCACATTCAATAGCATGAATAAAAAAAGAAAATTGTTTTGTTTTATAAATATTGTTTCGTTTGTTTTTTTTTCTCAAGTACTAACAATTTCTTCTTCGAGATAACGTTCAACTTCTTGTAATAAAGATTTAACAATAGGTTGTAAATATTTTTCAACTACAAGATAATCAGCTTCAGCTAGAATTGGTTCTCGTTCAAGTTCATCACGCATATGTTCACGTAAAAGAAGACGTAATGCTTTTTCTGAACCATAAAAATCATTTGCATGTTTTTTTTGAAATAAATCCCAACGATTTTTTTCTTGTCGTTGAATTTCTTGTTCAATATCATCAAACATTGTCGATTTGAACATTTGTTGTCTTTTCCATAATTCATTTAACATAGCTAATGAACGATTTAAAAAATCTATATGCTTTGTTTGATCATTATGGGAAGAATCAATCACTAAATATCGATGACCACATGCTTCAAGTAATGCTTGTTGTTTACATTCTTTATTTATCCAATCATCAACAGATATACCCTTTCTTTCAAGACGATCAATAAATGAAAAAACAACTATTGAATGATTTAAGGCTTCGGCACCTACAACAGAATTAAGATCGTTATCGAAATTAAAAACACATAATAAATTCAATTTTTAAAGACTAAGAATCAGTTCCATTAGTATATCTTACTAAAGAAGTTTAGGAAATAGATGGAATGATGATACGATATTAGATTATTCGAAGGGGTTGTACAAATGATTTCATACTATGTTCGTAGATCTTTTTACGTACATCATCATTCAGAACGTGCATTTTTACTAGAATTCACTTCTGTCAGTTTCGATTGCTTCATTCTTTCTAGAAGCAAAAAAGAATTTCACTATCATATGTGAGAATCATTCAGACACGTCGAATATCCTGTATTCTTGAAGTTTTTTTTATTCAAAAAGAGCTGAAATGTACCGAAATTACTAATCAGTCTCGCATATGTAGTACGATGGAAGAGATTCGTCATGAATATTTATCAACTTCTCGCCACTGTTCAGCTATTTTTCAATAAAAAGTTTCATAAGCGTTAGGTTTTCAACATGTCTGAATCATGCTCAAACATGGTAATGAAAATCTTTTCTTCATCTGAAGAAAGCATGAAACTATCGAAGTAGATCGAAATGACTCCTTGTGATAATGCACGCTCTGTATGACGGTGTAAGTGAAAAGAGCTACGAACACAATACTTAAACCGTTTCACGAACTCTTTGAACAAGAGTACACTAATAATTATTTCCTAAAGTAAAACCTAACAAATAAACAAACATTGTCTTCTAACAATCTTCATTCAAAGTCAATGATGATGATTAGAAAACGAAAACAACTAACAGTTCGTCTGAATATATATAACAGTACTCAATTCAATAACGATGAAATCGATCAAAAGATTCTGATTGTTCATCGAAACAAAGGAATGAATTCTCTTGATTTATTTATCGATACTTATGAAGTTTTTTGCTTACCGTAAAACCTTCAGTGTATCTACTTGTCATATATTGTAATTTACTGCATAACATTTGAAACATTTTTTTTTGCCTATAATACATAGTAGTCCTAAAACTAATTTAACTGAACAAAATATTGAGTACTGTTACTATAATTCAATCGAATTCTGCTTTAAAATATCGGCTTAGATATTAATAATGAATTGTAATTGTTGATGAGTTGCAAAAAATTTATTCATTCATCTGATTAAAACTATACGATATATCAATCTTAAAGCTCGTTTATAGTTACCTTTCGTTACTAAGCTCAACGATAATATATCATAGCAGTATTTTTTTTTTCTTTACCATTTTTCCGATGACTATGAGCGTGAAATGATGCTTTATAATGATGAAAAATGATCCACTCATTGATTGAAATTTTTGGTTTTCTATGAAACAACTTTTGAATCAACATATATAAACATTAGTTTCACAATAAATATAGTACTCTGTATTTCTTCTTACTTTTAGACAAATTTTTCATTGTCAGATTCTTGTTCTGTAAACTATTCAATCTCATATTTTTCAAAAAGAGAAAATATAGAGAATAAATTCATAAAAATTAGTTTTCATAACATTTAATCATATGTTTATAATCATTTTTTTAAATTATCTCTCATAAAAATATTTATTAACTATTTTCTATCTTATTCTTAAATAAAGATGATAATGTTTCTTATGAAAAATAATACAAAATTAATTAACCCTATTATAGAAAGCCTATCAAATATCAATTGATTTATCTTGTATTTAAAAGTCATCAAGGGTTCTAGTAAGCATAATAGAGTATTTTTCTATAAAAAGAAACGAAAAAAGTAATCAAACATACACCCTTACCAAATACAGTAGTAACAATTTGTTTCATATTAAATCGTTCATTCTTCGCATCATCACAACTAAGTATCAGAAAAATTGCATGTGGACCAGGACTAACAAGTGCAACACATTTAGCAAGTCGTCTCATATCTTTGTCATTTGATGTTGCATCTTTTAATATGAATAATGGCTAGAATAAAAACTTTACTAATATTATCTTAGTTTTTTTTTTGAATTTAAAAAGCATACAGGTGCATCAACAACAAGTAAATGTTTGCCAGGAAGAATTTTTTTATTAGTAAAGTGTCTTGATTGTGTTGTTGGTGTCGCAGATTCAACTGAACTTGACGCACCCACAGGAAAAACATTGCAACCAGCAAGAATATTTGCAATAGATGATTTACCAGTTTTTGGTGGACCGATAAGAAGCAAACGAATTTCTTCTGTAGCTGGTTGTACGGAGTTTTCAGAGGCCATTTTAAAACAATAATAGACAGCACACGTTGAGAATGATGAAGGAATAAAAAAAAAAAAGAAGAAACAAAGTGAATAGAATAGACTTCTAAAGTTTGTTCTAATTGGATTACTTTTTAATCAAACAGAAATTAGTATAAGAACGTGTTCATTAAATAAATTAGATAATATAACGAGAAAACCATACACTTTATAATTGTTTATTATTCAATAAAAAATCGAAGTAATTTTTTTCTCATTGCACTAGAGTTTAACGCCATCTACAGGATCAATCGTTTTTTTTTAACTTAAATAAATTAGTTTTATCTCTAAGCAAATAAAACTCATTTGAACTAAGAACTTTATCAATAATCGAGATATATGAATTTACTTCCGATGCAAATATTTATGGTGCATTGATAATAAATATAGAACAGTTATTTTCTTCAAACGAAAGCAAAGCATCATGTAGAAAATTGAAAATAATAAAAGAATTGAATCTATTAAAAAAGTTATTTTCACTTGAGTAGCTTGTCAATTGTTAAGAAATCGATTATTATTACTACTACATATGTATGTAAAAAATTTCCAATTATAAATCTAAAATATTTACTTATATCATATTCTTATTATTTAAATTTAGTTAACCAAAGAAGAAAAAAAAACACATTTTTTTCCCTAGAACTTCAATTACTTTCGGAATCATTTTTCTTGTTATAATTCATTATTGATACTTAATTATAAGCATATGTGAGTCCTTTTTTTTTTCTTTCACATTTTCTCTCTGTTGAACAAGTGTTAGAAATATTTCTCTAAATAGAGTAAGATGCAGTGACTACTCGATTAAAGTGCCTGACAACGAACTTTTTTTAACGAAAAATAAGGTGAAGCATCAACAAGGCTTTTTCTTTTACAACAGTTTAATCGTATAAGCAAACAAACATCAATTAGAGTAAAAGTGTATGTGTAGACACAAATGATTTTTGTAATATAGTGTTATAGTTGAATTCAAAAAATCCAATTGAGAATTTATAATGCAACAGATCATCTGTTCAAGTGATAGTCCTTTTTTTCAATGGACTACTCAAGTTCCGATATCTTTTACCGAATGGAAATATGTTCTATCGACATTAACAACCAACGAAACTTCAAAGTGTTTAAATATCTTATTTTAAACGATCCTTATTTCCTTATGTATTTTAATAGACTCTCATCACCTGATTCGCATTGTCGACCAACATCACAAATAAACAAACAAGAACGACAATCATTACCACGAAATCAAGTTTTTGGTGATACAGTTGTTGATTCATTTCTTGCTTCATCCTCGACTATAGCTCAATCATCAATCGATATTTCACGACCAGGTATATAAACAAGAAACAAGAAAAAAAAAAAAGAAACTTATCATACTATTTCATAAATTCATCTATACAGATGTACCAAAACTACTTGCATCACCAACAAAACGTTATGTTTCTTCATTTAAAACACTTGTTAGTTCAACAAATAGCCAACAAACACAACGATTAAGTAATCTCAATGATAATGTTATGATTCTTAAATTACCTAAAGAACGTAAGATAATAGACATTCATTATTATTTAGATATTATGATTGAAATAAATAGATACAAATAATAGTTCTATTACTGGTTCACCACTATCAAGTAAACATTCAACTCTATCAATGGTAACAACAGCAACAATTATGTCTACTAAATCACAGCAAAATTTTTCTCCGTCAAAATTAAGTCCAATATTAAAAGTAGAAGGACAAAGTAAGTATTGATTGGAAAAAGAATTGGACCATTTCTATATTTAATTTTGATTCGTTTTTTTTTCTTATTTATTTCTTTTGTCTTTGGTGCTCTCATCTATACGGTTTGGTTAAATCTGTAGTGTTTGAATTTACGAGAGAAGGAGAAACAGAACAAAAAGTATGTTGAGTGGTAATGGTGAAAAAAAGAGAATGATTTGACGCGAACCAACCGAATGCAAACGAGTAAGAAGAGAATTGACAACATCAAATGTTAAAAAATAAAACATGCGCAGGGTAGTGAGGAGCCAGATAGAAACAACAAAATCTTTCTCTCTTTTCTTTCTTACTACAGTATTGATTGTAAATTTTACACACATGTCCATTGTTTATTATTATAGAACGTCGAACTGTAAATCATGATTCTTCAATAATTGTTTCATCCACGTCTGACGTACCTACTGGCTCTAGCCCAGCAAATCAAATGGCCATGAGTACTAGTGGTCATCCTCAAACGAATTCATCTGTATTCACTTATCGAAGTGCAGCAGCAGGTGGAAATACAATTCGACAAAGAACAATAGCTGAAACAACACCAAATAGTTTATTAATAACAACTGACAGGTTTAAATCAAATATATCTTCATCCATACGCCCAACACGACAATTATTGCCAACAACAACATTATCATCTACGTATATGTCATCTCAACAAACGCAACGAAATAATAATCAAAATATAAAATCTCGTTTACAATCAGAGAAATTCATAAATTCTAGAGGTAATAATTATATAGTAACTTTTAGAAATATTTATAATAGTTTATATTGTTCTTTTTTTTGTTAGAAATTTATGAATATCCCGATCCATTTACTAATTGTCCTCAAGATATATTAAATAAATTATCACAACTTACTAAACTTCAACTAGAAACAATTGAATGGGAAAAGAAAAAACGATTTACAAAGAAGAAGCCAGTAACCAATGGTACTGTTCAAGGCAAAGATAGTCCATAATGATTACTTGTAAAATTTCTTTTCCTACATTTCTTTTTTCTTTTATTTGTCTCAAGAAGAATGTTATGTGTGTATATGTCACTTCAATCAAAGGTTTTTTTTGTTTTCTTGCCAATTCAAAAAAAAACAACATTATTTTTGGTGTTTAAAAATACATCAGTGAATGGCAGAAAAAAAAATCTTTGATAGAAATTTTTCAATATTTTTTTTATAGAAAAATAATCATTTCGTACGTATTCTCTCGAATTAATTCTAATGTACTTAAAAAACATTACCATAGATATTTTTAAAAATTAATGATTAACCCTAGACTGTACCAATAGAGTCTAGAAATACATATTTACGTGTGTCTGTAAACATATCAAAGTTACAATAGCCATTGAGTATTTATAATCCAAAAGATAATGTAGTAATTATGAATCAAATGATCATCTAGTAATAATGATATACAATGAGCTATCTGATAACTATGACTGGAACAATTGTGAAAAAGATCATCTGGTCATTACAGTTTGAAAATGAATTGACAATTACACGTTGCAAAAACGAGAAGTATTCGTTGAATTATTTAATGATGTATAGATGAGCATCTGATGGATCAATAGATTAAAGTTGGATAGGTCCGTTTCAATATATCTAATTATGATAAACAATCAAAACTATATTCTTTTAATCATGTCATATTAGAGTTTTTGAGTGCGAACAATACTACTATAAACAAATTATAAAAAATTGTGTTTTTATTGACAATATCAAGTTTTCAATTTATTATACTCAAACTTCAAGCTTCATATCTTGAAACAGATGCAATACTATTTATACTAACAGTACTACGCAATTCGATATAAATAGATAGAGAACAAAAAAATATTATTACTAAAACTCAACTCTCCTTGCAAATTTTAAAAATAAACTTTAATCATATGAAATTAAAGAACAAAGCGCATACTATTCATAAGAGACACGAAATTAAAAAATTTCACGAAATTCCTATATAAAAAAAAACAACCTTGCTCTACATACCGATTGGATTCGATTACAAAGCGTTTATTGTATACCAATAAGAAAGAAAGTATTATCTTAGAAAAAAATTGCTTTCATGTATCTTGTAAATTCTCAAAATTTACTTTTACAACTGAGCAAAATATACTTGTTATGTTGTAATGTTTACTTCTCTACTACTTTTCTTAGTACGCATTTACATCGATGTGTAACTGTATTCGTATCTTTATGACGTCATCTATGGAAAAATTTTCTGAGTAAAACCGCAATGAATTACGGTCGACTGTGGTTTTTCTCATTGCGCGGTATCAGATATCGCGGCTGGTTTATTATAATATTCCCAGGATAGTCTAGAGCCAAATGAGTTGAATTTTGATGAACGTTACTTGTGATTAAATATTTTGAATATCATCATTCTTCTAGATTATTTTTTGGAATGATGAAAAAAAATGTAAATTATATATCTTTAACCTTCAACTAGTTTTCTGAATATTTTAAAACTGCATTAATCATAAATTTTATGTCCAACTTTAGACATATGATAGAGTTTATGTTCTCCTTTTGTATCATGTTTCAATGACTTCATTGAATGATCATTTACTCCTATTGTGAGGCACTTTTTGATTGGAAATATGTTTTCTTTTTCGCTACCAGCTTTCTAACGGATAAGAAAATGAGCCACAAGATTGTGTATCCAACCATACTGTGTGGATGAGCAAAGTCGAGATTGATTGTTCTGTATATCAGTTCAACAGCTGTATTAATGAGAATAATTACCCAAACTATAAAGAACCAATAGACAATGATCCTTAAATCAATAGAAAACGCTGTGCTTGATGTTTAAAACATGATTTTCAGTCTACTGTAGCGCACGAAAAAAAATCATATAACTTTCAGTGCTATTCACGTGAAAAGTAAGTTTGAAAACTTTAAATAAACAAGATCAGTGATATTGCATTTTCTATTTTTTCTTGACTTGAATAGTTTTTATTGATATGATCATTAGAAGAAATTCATGACACAGAATTGACCATATAAGAGTTGATGATATGATTTTAATCGAATATATAATAATGCAGACCAAGAAATTATATTCACATAATTTTCATACATTCTTGAAAGAAAACCAAGAAATTCATTTTATATATGTTGCACATTTTTGGCTGTAAACAAGATGCCTTGATTACACCATCGTACATTTTCGAATGCGGAATCAAAATCCTTTAGAGATTTACTGGATAATTTTGATCTTAAACACGATCCTGATTAAACATAATTGAGATAAGATTTAAAAAACAACGTTTCATTAGATAAGGCCTAATATAAAATACATGAATGGTAACTAAAATTGAGCAAACAAGATACGTTGAACCTACGCTGGTATACGATTCGTTTTGTTCAAATATTTGTAAAAGCCATTAAACTTTCATAATAACAATTGATATTTGAGTTTCGATGTTAAAACAAGAGAAAAACGTGTTTTGCGATCATTGCGATGAAAATCAATAAATAAGTAAATAATCGATTTAAGTCAATTAAAAATCAAATAATCTGCCGAATACCAAATGAAAACAGTACCGTTCCAATCGATTTTTAATAAGAAGAAAAAACATGGATGAAAATTAAATTTTTTCGATCTTGTTTTTTATATGGATCATCCATTGGTGCCTATCGTAAAATCATATTAGCTCAGCCCAGTTCGTGGTTTTTGAAAAAACTTTGGTTTATGGGCTGACCTGAGCTGGGTCGAGCTCACCTGATGAGGAATTCTGACTTGGTTGTTTTCTGAATAATCCTGGAAATAACTTAATATATATTCATGATTCTGTTTCCAGTCTGTATATCTTACATTGAAGACTTTATATTTTATCTTGTTTTACATATTTATCGATTACAAGTTCTTCTATTACTGAAAGTGTGTTCTAATTAAGTTTGATTCAATCATTTTATAAGCTTTCGATGTGTCATGTTTAGTATGAACATTTTCACTTTCTCAAACTGTTTCGTACCACTTTGTCCTTATTGGTATTGACGCCTATTATGTTTGGAAAGGAATTAGCTTTACATTATCCGATGAAATTATTTTGGACACTTTTCAAGTACTTGAAATATTTTGTAAAGAGGCTAGAAACTATGACGATAACTAAACTGAGTATTTGAATATTCCCTTACATTGAATGATTCTTATATGATGCTGGCATGCTCACTGTAATATTTATTAAAAAGAGAAAGCGAAAAATAAATGTGCCCAACATTGTTACGCATTGATATTACTCAACAATCAATCAAATTATTATGAAAAAAGAGATCGTGAAATATCCTTTGAAGATAATTCATAAAGTCAATTGGGTGTAATGATTTACATTCATGATTTATCCCAGTTTGTGGATTTTGTTGTTAATGTGGCAGTGTGTCTATTGTGATGAACAATGGGCCAATTATGCATCCACGGTCCAGATATCGTTGTATCGAAGGGATCATCCGCACGTTGCTCTCGAAGTTCTTCTATTTGATTTTTAATTTTTTCTTCAACGGCAGCTTCTTGTAATTTACTTCGGTTAATCTTTGACCATTGATCCCAATCGGGTTTGAAATTCTCATCATCTCCTTTAGCCATCAATATATTATCTTTCAAACCGTAGAATCCGTTCGGTTCATTAGGCTTCTGCCTAAAAACACGCTAAGCATTACGATGATTTGTTTATTACGAAAATCATAAATTCCCTCACCATCTCAAATCTAAACTCCATCTGATATTTGTACTGTAATTTTCCGTTGATCTATGCGGAATTAAATTATTTAAAAATAGTACGGAACCGAAGGGAGTTTCACAAGTGACGACAGTTTGTTCATTCAATGGGATGCCCAATGTTTTTGTCATTTCTTCTTCAGGTACTTCCACATACCAAGTATTTCCAGTACAACAATTGTGCTTACATGTCAAGCCAGAGCGGTGACCACCACGTAACACTTGCAGACATCCTTGAATCAAATAAAACTATGAAGGTATAGAAAACACAGTTAATCACACTGTACCATTTTCCTTGTTAGCATCCAACAGTGGAATCCATGCTGTTACTTGAAGAATTTTCCAACATTCATTACTCAAATCTGAAGAAATAAAATAAATTCAAATATACATTCACAATTCAGTTTAAATATATTTACAGGCAGTATCTTGATGCCACGGTACAGTTGCTTGTTCTTGATTAGGAATCTAAAATTTCATAGAAGAGAAGAAGAAGCAATACTCAACTGAGCAAGTCGAAGGCCCTTATTAATGATATGGAATCCACAAAAGTTCCGAAATAACTACAACTCATTACGATTTGATTGATCCGACTCACTTTTGGTCTAATATTCCACACAGGATGACCGGCTATGTCTGGTCCCAGTAATTGTTTAGCAACACTTAATAACGACTGACTCGACCATAATGACGCAATTTCGGGTGGTAATATACCGCGTTTATGCATTAGAACAGAAGCACTCGGAAATTGTGCATCAATTGCCGTTAAACGTTGATAGAAATTTTTATTTTCATGTAAATCTTGTATTTTGCCCTAACATATCGAAAAAATTTAATGTTAGTTTATTTCTTAGGATAAAGAACTTTTACTGCTTTGAATAGGTCTTGTGCCACTTCATCAACGACTTTCTCTATACCATGAATAGCTGATTCCAATAGATCGCGTGTCAATAGATCACGTTTGATTACAAAACCATCTTCGAAAAATTGACGAAACTCATCTTCGGTGAGCGGTCCAGGTGTATATTCCCGTTGCCATGACGCTATTTCTGTCGATAATGGTGGATAAACAAAAGAATTAGAGACTGTTGTAGCCATTGATTTTTATCTAAAAACAATTATTTATCCTCAGTCCTGTGAGTTTAATGCAAATTACCATTCTAAAACATGCAAAACAAGAATTTTTTCTTGTAGATCATCTAATGCATCTATCAGTTAATGTTTTTATTTCCTATTTATTTCTATAAAAGTGTTTTGGGAGTCAAGTGTATCATAAAATATTTCTGAAACAATATTTGCATATGAAAAAATGTTCATTGCGAATTTCGACGCTCTCCGTCAGTACATGAAGCATTATTTTATTTTTCACTTTCTCTTTCTCTTATGATAACGCAGAATTACTCTTACAGCTTCGATAAGTCAAACGACGTGTAATAATAAAAGCATCCTGTAAAATAGTCTATGACGATGCTACAGTACAACAATCGTCTATTAGTGACATCTTTATTTAACATTTTCAAACGTTTTCTTTGCATATCTCCCAGGTAAAGAAATACGGGTCGATTCAGACGGAGAGACAAGAGATATTGATGGTACTTGAAAGAAGTATTCCGGATCAAAAAGTCACTGAATTTGTCAGGTGACTTTCGATCAATTTTCTCTTTGTTCCAATGGAAACCACCCGAAAATCATCTGAAAAAAAATGAAGAGTCATCAGTTCGAAATACTGTTTTCAAGTTCCATCGATTTCTCGTACTTTTCTACTGGATATAATGATCTTTCCCACAACTTTCCAACCGCTTTCACTGAAATCAGATTGTTTTGGTAGCCCAGAAACATCGACCTGTCTTTTCACATATGTCAATTCGAACAACTCAAGTTTTTTTTGACATCTTTATAATTGGATGGTTTTACTTATGATATTTGTTAAAACAATAAACAGTTCAAATTCTATTATGAACACTTCTGAAATACTCGTATAGGACTATGAAGAGAGACAAGATCAAAAACCAAAATATTTCTTGTTACATATATGTTTTTCTTTCGTTCTACCAAAAATCACTGTTCGACAAGTATCGATCAATGAGGGCAAATATAATACATAATTACATAGAACTGTGTTCGATTTGCAGAATATCAATTATCGAACTCACTGATTCGTACAAAATAATTCCTATTTCATTGAAATCTTTTACCAGGGTGTTAAGCGACCATGTATATAATCATCTTAATAATGATAACGCTATGCATTTCAGTACAAAGTGAGATTGTCAGTAGATAGAATAGAAGTAATTTAGAATGATCCTGTTGATAACCTGTCCTTTAATTGCACAGTTTGTCGAAGACTGCACAATCCAAAAACAATCACTTTTTTTGCAAAATAAAAACTTCTGAAGTTTAACTGTAGGCTTAGCTTCTCCCATTGAAGATTCTCAGGCTATAGCAATACATCGAACACTCCGTAGATTTCCTGAGTAGAATACAAAATAATCAAAGAGTAGTATGATTGCATACATATTTCCCGATGGTTTCTCAAGATGAGGGAAAAACCAACATTTTTGCAGCAAGTAGCGCTGAGAAACACAGGTCGTTATTCAAATCACACTCTCTCATGCATTAATTTTTTTATCGGCTAATGTATAGGCTCACGATATTGATTACCAAACAACCTGTATAGCTGTTCTAAAACAGATCATAGTCTTTCTCTTCATCCTTGTTATATCGATTACTTTATTTGATATTGAGTGCTTGTTTTGGCAATGATCTTTGAAGTTTTTCAAAAAAAACAATCGACTCCTTAGAAGATGGACAATTAATAACGCAACTGGCAATAACAAATAATTTAGAAGATATAAGAGTGCCATTCGAAATTATGGGCCAATATGGTATAGCGTTTTACGTGAAAAAGGTTTTCCATATAGACTTAAATCTCCTGAAAAATACAGCTTTTATTAAAATTATCGAAATTAAGATAAATACTTGGGAGGATAGTTCGAGGCTTGATCTTTCATAAATAACAAGATCTTTTACTCGATACAATTTTTTTTTCGAAAACTTTGATGATTTCTATCATCATCCGTTAGAAAAAAAAAATGTTATTTTCAGGAAAAGCAAGGAATCATTGACATTCTTTCTTTTTTCATGTTTTTTTTTGATAGCGCATTCCACAAATCTTAAAGAAGTTTCATTGTCGTCAATTTTTTTGTTTTCTTTTCTAGATTATGTCAAAATGTTGGACATGCGAGAGTACCTTTTCTTAATTAAGCTTTTCTCACTTGCGTTCGCTTAAGAGTAAAAATTTACAAAAAGAAAACAAAACCCATTATTTTTTTCCTTTTCACTGGTTTTTTTTCTTGATTCAACCATTGTTAAAATTTATATTCACAAATAAGCATAAAAAGAGGAAAAGCATATTAATATTTTCCTGTTCACTTCTCACATGCTAGTTTGAAACAGCATACATAAATACTGATATTATTTACCTTTCACAACATTCTTAAATGACTCAAGTTTTGCTTCTACAGATATGGTTTTGATTTCGATGATTGAAATAGTATTATATGAAACTTATGAAATCATATCCATTACAATTGTTCTTATTGAAGTTTTCATTTGGTCAAATATATTTATTGTATTTAATTCGTATTTGATCGTAAATAACATCCAGATTCAACAGGAATACGAATTTTAAGATTTCTTGCTTATAATGCTTGTGAAAATTCGATAGATGCAAAATTCTATGTAAATAACAGACACTCAACAACGTTGATTTTAATTAAAATCTAGGTTGAAATCTGCAGTTCTTCTAATAGATTAATATTTAACATTATTTAGAAAAATTTAAATGATATTGAGATTTAATTAGATTTAAACATTCTTGAGTAGACTCATTATTATTAGATTTTCTCATCGATGGCTGGACTCCATAACAAGCTAGACAAAAATGGCTGATAGAATGTTGACCTTCACGATGAAAGGAGAAATTTAAAATAGCTATCGAATTTAGTTAGATTTGGAACAACAAATAAACCATTGGTTCTTGCACAATTAGATTAATCTTACACTGCTCATCCAATATTCGTTATAGATCTGTGTAAATTTCTTCAACATTTGCTAGTATTTATTCTTTTTGCATTGGCAAGCTGGAACATGTTGGCTAAATAAAATAAGCAAATATTTTACATTCTGAACTTGATGTTACTGTGTAATGATGTCTTATGTAAAAAATCCAGATAGAATATATACTTTTGAATAAAATTGAGCACTTTGTAGAGAATTTCACGAACAATTTTTTGATAAAAAGTAATTTTTTTTTGAAATCAAGTGAACAATGGAGAAAAGACTTTGAAAATACTAATAGTTTTATGGTTCAACCATTATTTTCTTTTCTCATCGAACGAATTCTACGAAGTATTTTCTTTCTTGAACTACACTAATTATGTGTCTCACTGCTTGAATGAAAATTAGTTTTTACCGGAGATATTTTATGAACAAAAGATAAAAGAATCATCAAAGCAAAACATGTCCTTTCTAGCATAAATTCATGATTCATCTATAACGTTCTAAATAAAAGTAATAATTATAAACATTGACAATTCGGAAGGAATTCCACATCCATGATATAGAGAGAATGCCATTAGACAAAACTTATTCATATGAGAAGACAAATGTGAAAAACTAGCAGGCAAGCTTTTAAATAAATTAAACTATCTTATATTATTTAAAAAAAATATTTCTTTTTTTGAATGTCCATATAATAAATTCAAAATACACTTTTAAAATCTTGCTTACATATTGTCTATGACCCAAAAATAAATCAATATACAATCGTCAAAAAAAAAAACAAAAACACAAAAGAGATTCACAACAAATAATGAAATATATATATCTAATATAATAAAAATGCATTGAGCATTTATACACTTGTATATATGGATAGATATTGTTTTTTTTTTGTTTTAATCATTTAGAAATCTTTGAATAGTTGCACTTCATATTTTGCTGCTTGTGGTGTTAATTTAATATCAAATTCATCATATGTATCAAAATTTTCTGTATCACCTTCTGATGTAACTGTAGGTCTTATAGGTGGTTCTAGCTTTTGTTCATATACATCTGCCCATGATATAGCAACAAACCATTGTTCACGTTTTATTTCTTCACCACCATCTTTTGCTGAACCAAGCCGTTGAGCTTGATCTGTATTAAGTAATTTACGAAGTAATTGTTTGGCAGCATAATCAAAATGACGTGGAAATTCAAGTTTACCAGAAATAATTTTTTGATATGCTACAAATTGATCAGAATCATAAAATGGTGGATAACCTAAGAGTAAATCGATCAAAATTGAAAGAAAAATGTTTTATTTTTCTTTTTTAATTAATTACCGGCAAGCATTTCATATATGAGAATACCAAATGCCCACCAATCGGATGCTTTATGATGACCACGATTTTGAATAACTTCTAAAAAAACATAAAAATAAATGATAAATCGAAAGAGAACAATATTGATTATATTCAAACCTGGTGCAAGATAATCAACAGTACCACATAATGTAAATGTACGTTCTTTAGTTTCTTTTGCAAAACCAAAATCAACTAAACGTATATGTCCTTTTCTATCCAATAAAATATTTTCCTAGAAAAAGAGAAACACATAGATAATTTTTTCAATCAAATTAAATATAGTTTATTATTAATAAAGAAATATATCTTACTGGTTTTAAATCTCGATAAAGTATATCTAAATGATGTAGATAATCAAGTCCAAGTAAAACTTCACTTGCATAAAACATAGCTATTTTCGAAGCAAACTTTTCTCGTTTGCGCATCATTTGAAAGAGTTCACCACCGGGTAAATATTCAAGTAAAAGATAAACTAAACTATTTGTATGTGTTGTCCAATATAAACGTACAAGAAATGGATGATTAATTTTTGATAATATGTCCTTTTCATTTTGTACATGTTCAGTTTGTTTCGATTCAATAATACGTTTTATAGACATTGTTTTAAGCGCATAATATGTATTACTATCACGATGATAAACAATTTGTACACGACCAAATGTTCCTAAACAAATAAAATTATTAAAAAACCTAATTCTTATTGTTTTTATTCTATAGAGTTCTTACCGGTACCAATTGTTCGTATAGTATCAAATGCTTCTAATGTAAATTGACTATTATTTAAAGTATTTAATGATGATGATGATGCTTCATTTATAAGATTTGGTTTAGCTTCAACAGATTTATTTAAATCTGAATCAACTAGTGAATTGGAAGTATTTCCGGTATACGACGCTCTTGAACGTGGTCTTATTGAAGGAACCTCATCAAATCTATTAGAAGCCATTTTATCTGTTAATAATTCAATACTGTCGGATAATGTATTAGTATTAGTTGGGTTCAATTTAACAGGTGATGCTATCGGTCCAATAGCACCTTTTTTTGATGATATTCGAGCTGATTTTCGTCGAGGTGTTGGTGTTGTTGGTCCTACGATTGGAGATTTTTTATTTAGTGTTATTCTTCTTTGAGAAAGTACCGATGTTGAAGGTAATGTTGGAGGTAGACGTTGTTTTAATAAACGCTCTGGTGGTTTTGATGTACTAATGGAACGAACTGACGCCATATCAAATATTTTACGAACAAAATAAATAAGACTAAAATGATTACAATAAAAAAAAAAGAAGTGTGTATTTCTTCTACTAAAAAAGTAACCATATGTGACATGCTACTTAGAACAACATTCTCAAAAAAAAAACTAAAGATATCAAGATAAAATAGTGTAACAGATTTTTCTATACAGGTGAAAAAAAAACAAATACTTATAGTGTCAATTATGACTACGAAAGAAAAATGAAAGTTCTTAGATGAATTTAATATATTATTAAATACAAAAGAATATGATGAAACCTCTGAAAAGAAAATTTTATTTATTGTTATTGTTGTTCTATAAAATATTTTCTTTTTTGTGATTAGTTGAATAACTTACGCTTGTTATTTAAATAAATGCGGCTGAAAAGACAGATAAACATCATGCACAACAACTTTTCTATGTTCTTTTTTTTTTTAAACAATCTTGCTCAAACAACTAAATATCTTCTGAGCACTTCACTATTTTTTTCTTTTTCTCTCTTTTATTTCTATCAATATAACACGCCCATACACTTCAGTTGGACATAAAGAACACTGACGAGAAATGTTTCATTTGTATGTTTATGTAATGAACTCATACGTTAATGCCATTTTTTGCTAAGAATACTGTTTAAAAAAAATGGAAAGGAAGAGGTTCGTGTCGTTTACATAGTCGAATACAATAAAATAATATAAGAGGAATGATTGAAAGAAAGAAAGAAAAAAGAAATTGAGCTACAATTAGCTTATATATCGAACAGTATTTGTATGCAGTACTTTGAAAGCTATTGTTGTTCTGATTGTTATTGTTGTTGTTAGTATTATAAGGAAATGATGACGTGAGTTAGGAGAACGATAGAATCAATGAAAGAAAAAAGTGTGCCCTCACAGAATACCGTTATATTCTAAAAATAACAAGCAAAAAAAGTTAAAGAATGAAGAAAATATTACGTATCTATTTTACTTCTATTCATTTTACACATCATACGCTTGATAACTATTTTCTAGTCAATATTTTTATTTCAATAGAAATCTTATTCTTACGTTTCAACAACTCTTTATTGATCTCAATTATCGCTTTATTATATCTGACAATCTAATTGAAGATTCATTTTCCATTTTGTCTATTAAATCTAATCCTTAATAAAGCTCTCTGATCAAACATAAAAAGCTATTGAAATTCGTCTCTTATCTTTCATCTATTATCATAGGCATGTCAATGTACATGAAATAGCTTCCGTACTCGCTGTTCATCAATATATTGCTTTTCGCTCTTTTTTATTTGAAATCGAGAAGATAAGAAATTCTTGGCCAAAAGAAGAAAAAAAGAATACTACCATTATTTACGCATGTCGTATAAGAACTATATGGTTTCTCTATAGAATACTATTGAAAGAAAAAGAATTGAATGCATCAACACCTATATAAGATGTGACAGGTAATCTGATCAAAGACTGAAATATTTCAAACATACAATAATCATCATCTGTCTTCATCGCGTTTTTTTCTTATTGAGTTTTTTGTTTATAAAGAAAAAAAAAAGGATAGAAAAGGAAGTCCTTCTTGAAATAGAATCTAACAAAAACAAAAATTCTGTCATCACGAGATGAGATTATTTCCTGAAAAAAACTAAACTATTTTTACAACCTATTTTTATTACTTTTATTGCTGTTGCTAGCAACTAAGGTTATGTTTTTTTTGTTCAAACGAAAAATTTTCATTATTGATCATGCGAATAATAGTCAGAGTGTATAATGTTTTTGTTCTGTTTATTATTTATGGGGACACTAATTAGTGAAAAAATTAATCAAACATAAAGAATGCCCCAAATTCAATACAAATGATGATGAATCAAGAAAAAAATGAAATAGAAAAATGATTTATGAGGGTAAAATATGTTACTCATTGTAGGTACTTTGACTCTGCTGACATACTTTAAGGTTATGTATACACATCTGTGTAGTAAGAGTAAATAACATATTGTACAGTTGAAATATAATGGAAAGAGAACATAGAAATACAATTTTATTTTCTATTTTAATTATCAAAAAAATAAAAAAATGAAAATCAATCAGAATGGAATTCTTATGTATTATTTCTTTTATAATCAAATGAAGAGTAGAACTGTTTATAATGCATATGAGTTCTATTTGAAACTGAAAGATGCAAAAAAAAAAATTTGAGATTTTTTAAACATACGTTGGTTTTTTAAATATCCATGCAGCAAAAAAGATAATAATTGCAATTGCATAAATACTTGTCAAAATATCATTAGATCTAGAATCATGTTGAAACATTGTGGATGACGATGAAGTAGAAGTTTTTTTCATAATTGATAGTGAATGATTATCAAGTAAAGTTGATGCTTTACATTGAAGAACTGGATAGAATATTTTGATTTTCTTCTTTCGTAAAGAAGAATTTAATTTTTTATCCATTGCAGATGCCATGTTTTTGTAAAGAACTAATGTCAAGGGACAAAAACTAGGGACGCGAAGTATCAAGAATAAATACAATTATGAGTACAAGAAAAAGCGAAGTAGGACAAATAGAAGGAAGAAAACAGATTACAAGATAAATCTAGACATATACTGTAGAGTTTGGAGATCGCGAACTATTCGATGTAAATAAGACTCTTGCAATTGGCTAGTATTTATTGCAACGTTAATATATTGTTTTTCTCATTATCTTAGACAAGAAAAATACTAAATCTTCGAAAACAATCATTTCAAAGTAATTAGTCATAAAAATACATATATTCTGTAGATAGAAAAAAGAAATTTCTACGACGAAAAAAAAAATAGCATGATCATTATAATTAACTTTTTTTGTAATTGAACGAAATTATCATTATTGACATTGATGAGGTAATTTAATGACACATATGTGTCTTCAACATAAAGATGTATGTAAAAAAAAAGAATCTGCAATACAGATGGTTAAGATTTTTTTTTCTTATGAATTCTGTTTATTCATTTAAGGAAGGAAATGATGTATCGATAGATCTATTTATAGATTTATTAAATAATTATGAAGACTGGAGACATTTAGAATATTTATCAGATAATCGGTTTTTTTGTCGATCATAAAACTTAACAGCACTTCCATCATGTTTTTAAATATAGACATTTATATATATATCAAAGCTATTTATGATTGATGGTTCTTTTGTATTATGCTGGAAAAAAACAAGATAATAATTGTTGAATAAAAAGAAAATAGAAATGTGTAATTTACGAATTAAGTATGTTCAAAGTGTTATTAATTTCTCTATTAGTACAAGAAGAAATGATTTCGTCTAAGTCTTAATTATATGAATAAAAAATAAAACTAGCAACTAATTATTGAACTTAAATCGATCTTACTTTTCTGTGAAATGTTTCGATACCAATTGTAAATAACACAAAAATATTTCGATTAGAACGACACGTAGAAAAATATCTACAACAACGAAATTATTTTACTCTTTCTCAATGTATTCATCGATCATAAAAATGAATCGTTTTCATTCTTTTTCAAAATTATGTATATATATACTAGTTTCGATTGAACTATTTAAATAATTTTCGATTAATTTCTATTTGTTTTTGCTTCTTTCTTTTTCATTTGCCTGTTTTGATTATTATTTTGGTTGTTTTTCTCGCCAGTACATTATATTTTATTAATAACCATTAAATAAGCAAATCATTATACGTCGATGATTAATTTTTAATTAAAAATTATTAGTAATTAATATTTTCATATTTTCGACTGCAATTTTACCTCGTTTTAAAAGTAAACCCTTACTTAAATTATATACATATCGTCTCATTGAACAAATTTTCCACTTACTTGAATTATCATACAAAATGAACTAGATGTTTTACTTGATCATACAAGTAACAAATAAACAAAAATATGTCTGAAAACTATAAACAATATGTAATTAATAATATTCAAGGAAAAAAAACTATTCCATTCTTATTTTTATAATTTTTCTTTTTATTGGAACTCAGTTACAATAGGAAAATTGAAGAAAATAATAGAATAAGAAATGCCGTAGAATATCGGAAGTAATTCGCGCCTCGTAAAAAAAATTTAATCGAAAAAAAAAATTAATAAAGAACAGAGTTTTGTACATTTTATTAATCACTAAAGTACGTCGATTAGTGTTGTTGTTTTTTTTATTAATTAAAACGATTAATTCATTTCGAATAATGTCGATTCAACGCACAGCTGAATCGGCTTTACATGCACTTCAAGAGCTTTATAATGCAATTGATGTATCAAGTCAACAACAAAGTTCAATGTCAGTCAATGATAGCGAAAATCTTGTACAAGCGCTCTGTAATCTTTCACAACTTATCAATCATATTAATCAGACAGGCATGTGTGGTTATACACCTATAATGAATACGAATTTAGATTCAAAACGATTTGGTAGAAAAAGGATAAACACATTCATCGCTCCTCATTTAACTAATTATGATGAAAATATAATGATGGATTCAGCAATAATTGAACCATCATTACAACCAGGACAACCTTATGGTGAATGTGTAATGTATCATCCTATTCGTATAATAACAACTTGTGCTGATGGATCTCGTGCATTACATGAAAGTGATGTTGTAATAAATGAAGGACAATATCGGAGAGATCATGGCAAACGTGAGTTGTATGTAGAAGGGATAACTTAGCAAGAAAACACAGATCAAAATTCAATTGATGACTTACGAAATAATCGTGCATTATATTTTTCCTTTTGTCTGTGTGATAGGATTTCTACATCATCATCATATCAAGAAAAATCGAAAACGAATGTTGAAAAGTTATGGTCGTCGGTCGACGAGTATTAGTCGAGCTAGTCTATGTATTTACTTTTCATTTCTCTATTCTTTTATTTTATCTATATAATAGCAAGTCATAGTGGATCTAGAAGATCTCGCATGTCTCATCGAAGTCAACGATCAACTCATGGACGAGGTAATCAAGGAATAAAATTCAGCAAACTTGAAGAATGATATACTTTTGGCCTAGCAAGTCAATCACGTGATCGTAGCTCACGTTCAAGTCGTCGATCATCTAGTTATTCGCGAAGTTCAAAAAGTCGACGCCGACGATCACAAAATCATGGACGTAGTAAGTGGATAGCATGAAGAATTTCTTAGTATTGAATTATTCATTCTATAGGAAGTCGATCAAGTCAAAGAGGAAGTCGACGATCTCGTTCAAGTCAACGTGAAACAATCATTAGAAAAAATATAAATTAAAGTCTATTTATTTTCTTTATTAGGTCGTAGTCGAAGTCGTCGACGAAGTTCACATAGTAAGTCAGAACGTTTCTTGAATAAATGATTATTGCATTATCTACGCATTATTTCCAGAACGTCGATCAGCAGTTTTTCAAAATCGACAACATCAGTAAGAATCTTGATAGAATTTTTCGTCATCGATACTTTTACTATTGAAAAGTTTTGAACTATATTTAAGATAATTTTTTTTTCCATGTTTTCTTCTAGTCATCATCAAATACCTTCACATCTAGCTTCAAATATAACAAATCCAACTACTTCATCCTATCCTTCGAATCAAATTGGTTCAACAACAATGGGGATTCAACCATCAACACAGCAGCCTTATATTCGTTCGCTGCCTTCACCAGCTCCGATTACAACTATCAGTAATGGTCGTATACTACCATCGCCAACGTTCACTCCAACCATACCTTTACCTCCACCTCCAGCTATTTCTGCCTTACATCATCCTCATTCTTCTTCACAAATACCAATGCAACAACATCACCAACTACCTTCTTCTTCTACTATTCGTGATAATAATACTTTTCTACATCGACATGTTAACAATCCATTAAGTGATCAATCTTCAACATATCAACAAGTACCAACATCAACAATAAGTACAGGAAATACAGCATTATTATCACAACAGCAACCATTATCATTATTATCATCTACAGATCCTATGTTGAATATTCCCATTCAAAATGATGTTTTATCTTCTGGTACTATACCACTTCAAACAACAAATAGTGCATTGATATCACGTTCAGATAATTGTCCAGAATGTCGAGCTATAACGTAAGTTGTATCAGTTGTATAAGTTGTTTTTATTCTAATGAAAATCTCTGATCTATTCAAAGACGTCTTCTTCAATGGGCACCATTGAAATGTTATGATGCAGCAGGAATACGTCGTGGAGTGTTTTTGGCTGGACCAAAAAGTGGACAATTACTCAAAGCACTTTATTCATCTATAAAAGATTCATCTTTATCATTAGATGATATTGAAAATTGTTCATGTGATGATGAATAAATCAAATAAAACTATTTCTACTGTTCTTTTTTTTTTCTTTTGTGTTCAAATTTCAATAGGATTTTAAAAGATAAATTGAAAATATATTCTGTGAATCATAATCAAATATGCCAAAAACAAAAGTATTCTTTCATTTAACCAATACTCATATGCCGAAAGAAAAAACGTTGAATTAAAATTCAAAATCTTTCTATGAGTTGAAATAAAAGGTTAAGTTGAACTCGAACTCATCAATCTATCATGAAATCGTTCTTATTAAACTGTTAATAAAAAAAACACATTACTATTCTAATCTACGTTATAAATAAAGTTTAGATTATCACAACAACTTGGATTAGACACATCGTTTGACATTTTCAAGCTATATTTTTTGTTGTTGTTTTCTATCGTGATAAACAACACTTTTTACTTTAAGTGCAATAAAATCAGGTCCGAACGTATGTTAAATACATGTTAACCTTATACAAGATTTGTTAAATATTTTGCATAACTAGAACAAAAATGTCACATAATATCTAGACATCAAGGATATTTTTATTTTAATTCATCTCCAAACACGAATATTTGTTCATAGATTAAAGGTCTATAAAAGCTTCAAGAAAATTTACAACGTCGTGTGTTTTTATATTGAAAAGTTTCAGTTTCACTTTAGCATTTGGATTTGATACATACAATAAATGATCATGATTGCTGTTAGCCTTTTACTATTTTCATTTGTGAGTAGTGTTGGTAAGTTGAACAAGAAAAAGAGTTTTTGATAAAAAATAACTGATTATTATCTTGTATAGCTGGCAACTGTTTGGTTAGTCGACCATGTGGTGCTGGTCTCTGCTGTTCTGCATATGGTTATTGTGGTGCAGGTACCACATTTTGTGGTACAACTGGAGTAGTATATCCTGTCAGTGATTGTCGTGTCGTAGGCTGTCCAGCCGGTAATTGTTGCTCACGTTTTGGATAGTATGTATTGTATATCATTCAAATAAATTATTTGGAACCTATGATTTCTGATGAACTAGTTGTGGTACAACGGTTGAACATTGTGGTGGTGGTGTTGTTGTACCTTCTCCAGGAGGAGGTAACTGTCAAGCAACTGGCTGTCCAGCTGGTACGTGCTGCTCCCAATATGGATAGTATGAAGTTTCATTTTTTTATGCAAGAAAAATTTTTATTTTATAAATTGTTCTATTATCTGTAGCTGTGGAAATACAGCCGCTCACTGCGGTTCTGTAGTCTATGGTAATTGTCGTTATACAGCATGTGGTGGTGGTCTCTGCTGTACACAATATGGATAGTATGTGACTTATTTCTTTTTTTTTGTGATACAATGTTAATGAATATAGTTGTGGTACAATTGGTTTTTATTGTGCGCTTTCAAAATCATCAAATGATATGACGCCAGCATCAATTGAAGGTAATTTTCAAGGACAAGCTACATATTATAATGAAAGTAGAGTTGGTTCGGATTATTCAACATGTGGTACTGAACGAGCACGTTCATTGAATGAAGATGATGAAATAGTTTATACAGCTGCTCTTAATCAAGCACAATTCGATCCATATACTGTTGATGGTATTCCAAGTAACAATCCAATTTGTCAAAAGAAAGCTTTAGTAAAAGGTTCAAAAGGTGAAATAATTGTTCGATTTGTTGATCGATGTCCTGAATGTAAAGAAGGTAAAAGAAAAATATGATTTGATTTGATTTGATTTGATTATATTCTTGTTTTTTGTCTCATATTTTTTCATAGGTGATCTTGGTTTAACAGAAGAAGCATTCCTTGCTGTTAATGGTGAACTTGGCACTGGTGAAACTACTGTTGAATGGCATTTTCTTTAAATAAATAAATAAATAAACAAATATCAACAACGAAATAGAGAGAAAAATAACTTATTAAAAGAATTTCTCTTTTTTTTTCTCTTTCAATACATTTATATCGATAATTCCGCTCTTTTATTCTTAACAATATATAAATAAAAGGATTTTCTATCGAATGCGTATGCATCAAGCCATTCAATATTCTCTATAAAATTGTGATGAAGAAAGATAAAAGCTGTCGCTAACGATGAATCCTCTTTGTGACAGAAAGAGAAATTAATTAAATTTTTCTTTTTCATTTCTTTCCTCGTCTACAGACAAGCAGAAAAAGTATTACTATCATCAAGTCATGGTTTACGGCATTCTATTAGAAAGTATTATTCAAAATTTTATTCTTGAAAAATATGATAAAATTCTTCTGGAACAAATTGAAGAATATGTACAACATTGTTTAACTAGTGTGCATCTCTTCGAGCTTTATGATGATAATCTGATGATCGGAATAGCTGAAGGTATGAATTTATTTTCATTATTTACTCTTTGATGACTTTAATTAAGTTATAATTTTTTTGCTTCTAAATTAAACGTTCCGAATAGCTCGTGGAGAAAAAGACTATCTAATGAGCTGTATTAATGAAAGGGAAATATTATCAGAATAATAATGCACGCATCCGCTTTCTTGTTATATATATATATATATATATGCATCTAGATCTATATTTAGTTATATAGATATATAGAATATATATATATATATAGAAATATTTGATGAATAGAGAGAGAAGTTAAAAAGTAAAACTCAAAAATGATCTACGGTATTCTTCTTGAGAGTTGTCGGTATGGAGTACGTGAAGTATATGGACATGAAACATGGAAAAGAATAGTACAGGAAATGAATTTTGAACATGAATCATTTACGACACTTGGCCGTTATGATGAATCATTAATTGAAAAAATTTCTCAGAGTAGGCTAACACATATTTATATAAATATATTGAAATAAAATTTGTTTTAGCTTTAGCGGATATCTTACATGAAGGGGACCCCGATTTATATATGCAGTTTTTTGGTGAAAGCTTTGTAAAATTTTTTACAAATTATGGTTATGATAAAATTTTACGTGTTGCTGGAAGACATTTTCGAGACTTTCTTCATTCAATTGATCAATTACATGATTCAACTAGATTTAGTTTTCCAAAAATGAAATCACCATTATTCCATGTTACTGAAGAAGATGATAATGGTGCTATTTTACATTATAAGTAATATAGGAAAACTTATTTTGTAATAAAGAAAAAAGACTATTCTTTATTTTTTCTTTATCTTTAAGATCAAAACGTCGTGGTTTTCAACGATATATAGTTGGACAATTAAAAGAATGTGCGCTAAGATTTTTTAAAGAAGAAATATTTGTTCGTATTCAAGATGATATATCAACAAATGAATGTAAGAATTTGACGTTTATTTAGAAAAACAACAACAACAAAGAAATTTTTTTTACCTAGATAGTCATATTGTTTTTCGTGTGGATTTTGATAATTACATGGCTCGTTCAATAGAGAGACGTCTTATGCAAGGTCTAAAATTGCCTGATCTGACAGGCGCAACATTTTTTAAAGTAAGAAAAAAAAATCGGCGTTCTTTTATCTACAGGAGGTTATTTGAGAAATAAAAGAAAATAATATATATGCAAGTAATAAAGCTAAGACTTCTAAAAAGATGCCTCTGATATTATTGAGGTTAACATGTCTATGAATTACCTTGCAAGATCAAATGACCTTTTTTTTTTCTTTCCTAGATATTTCCATTTGCTATTTTACTTGATCCACAAATGCGCATATTTCATATGGGACGTTCAATAAGAAATGTTTTTCCTGCTGATACAGTACTAATCGGTCGTTTTCTAGAAGATGTATTTCGTCTGATTCGACCAGATATTCTACTTGAATATAACAAGGTTTGTTTCATTTTTGACTTTTGCTAAAGAAAAAAATAATAATTATGTAAGTATTTTTCTCAGGTACTTTCATACGGCCGACATATTGTATTTGTTATTGAAAGTAAAGTTCCACTTCATACAAATTCATCAACATATGCAAAAAAATTTGGTTCAAATAATTCTTTAATACGTCTTAAAGGACAAATGAAACTAATAACAGCTTGGAATATGATTGCTTTTCTTTGTCATCCAATGCATGTTTTAACACCATATCTAATTTTCTTATAAATTAATTTTTTTCATTTAGATTAGCAACAACAGAAGACATGCTTGCTGTTGGCTTATATTTACATGATTTAAATTATTATGATGGTAGTAGTGAAATTCTTATTGCTGGTATGCAACATGCTCGAACATTACAAGCAGCTATAGATAAACAACATGCATGGATAACAAAATTACAAAGTTCAAAATTAGAATTACAAGAATGGCGTCGAAAAGGCAAACGTCTTTTATATTCGATGATGCCAAGACATGTTGCACATATGCTACAAGATGGTGTTTTAGCTAATTCAATATGTGAAGTAAAAACAGCAACAAAAAAAAAGAGAAATGAATCATTTATAAAAAGGAAAATTTATTCGTTTATTTTAGTCTCATAAATTAATAACTGTTTTGTTTGGATATTCAATTGATTTTAAAGATATTATACAAAAATTAACTCCTCAACAAATTATTGAATCAATCAATGCTACAGTTATTGCATTTGATCATTGTGCAGAACATTTTGATGTATTTAAAGTTGAAACAAAAGCTGATTCATCATATATGGTAGTAGCTGGGATACAAGATCGTCAAGTACAACCAAAACGGCGTGAATCTGCTGCAGTATAGTGTTTTATCATTGAAATATCAATTAAAATATTTCCTTTTTATTTAAATAGAGTCAGTCAACGACGTATAGTGTTTCAGTAACGGATGAATTAGGATCTGAAATGAAAAATCCATTAGGTCTTAATCAAGCAGAAATCGTTGCTGGCCTTGCGCTTGAATTAGTAAAAAGTTCTAAAAAACTTATAAATTCTGTTACAAAACAACCATTTCGAGTTAAATTTGGTAGAAAATTTTTGCTTCCTGTTTATCTATATTCACTGTTAAGGAAGAAATTTCTTTTTTTTTTTAATAGGTTTTCATTCTGGTCCAGCTGTTGGCGGAATCGTCGGTGCAAAAAATTTTCAATATTGTCTATTTGGTGATACAGTAAATACAGTAAGTTATAAAAGTTCGTAATTGAGTCGAAAATATATTTTTATGTTATTGTTTTTGTAGTATTTTTGAGTCAATTTTATTTTAATGTTTTTTTTTTCTCTGTTTCAGGCTAGTCGAATAACAACAACAGGAGAAGTAAATGATGCTTATATAATGATATTTAATTTTTTTTGTATTTTTAGCCAGGTAAAATTCATTTAAGTAGCGCATCACATGCACTTTTAAAAGACTCATTATATTTTCAACTACAATATAGAGGAAAAACAGAATTAAAAGTAAAAAACACACATTTTTTTTTTCTTTTTAATTGAAATTAAAATTTTAGGGTAAAGGTTCATATGAAACGTATTGGTTAATTGGTCCCACAGCAGCGTATCTATCTGCTCTCAATGAAGCTAGATTCGATGATAATGATGAAGAACAACATATCAGACCTAGTTTGCAACAAATACCTAGGTTTGAAAATGATAGTCAAATAAATTCTAATCATACATCTGATGATTATATTAAAACAATGCGACGACCATCAGTTTTAAATGTTATTAATAAACAAACATCAACTACTAATGGTCAATGTCCGTTTAGCCAACAAATAATTGAAATTGCACCACCTGCAAATGCTAAAGACTAAGAGATTATCTGCTTGTAGTTTTGTGTTGTGTCTATTGGTTATTGTGTGAAAAATAAATTTACGCGAAGAAGAAACAATGACGAAAGACAGACTTTTCAACTGATGTTTAGACATGTGTAACATAAAGGTCATTATAATAAGTCATGACTACTGTTCTAATGAAGAGAAAATTGTGTTATAATATTATAAATAAAAATTTTTAACGCTGCATTCTTTGATTTTACTCTTAGTTCTCATTTGACATTCACTCTTTAATCTCAACTTCGAGGTATCTTGTCCTAATCCTTCATGAGTATTGAATTTTTCAAAAACATTCATTCTTTCATTCAATCAGAGTTTACATATATATACATATACATATTAAATAGACAAATCGAAGTGATACATAGATTTGTATATTAAAATAGAAAGACTTAGGCAATAAAATAACGTAATTTCCTTTTTATTATAGCTATAGTTTAATTTGATCATAATTCGTTTAGACAAAACATGAATTATGATATATTGTGTTATTTTTTTCTTCCTATCTATTGACACTTATTTAATATTGACTCATCAAAAGATAGAAAATCATATTGACAACAAGAAACATCAATCTAAATGTGCATACCTACCAACCAACTAATTACACGATACGCATCATTAAATTTTCGATTTTCTCTGACATGCAACAATCATCCGTAAAAGACATAATCAAAAAAATCTTTATATTGTGTAGTTTTTCGTTAGCTATTTTTGTTAAACTAAGATGATGTGAATTTGATTGAAATAATATGTCTGTTTTATAATTAGTCATTACCATGATTATGATAATCAGCATCTGCGCCGATCATATTCATGTTATTTAACACGCATGATCGTTCACCTTTATATATAATTTTAGTGTTTTACTGTTTTTCTTTTTGCTTCTTCCTTTTCCTTCTTACAACAATATTGCGTATTACATTTATAATTATCTCTAATGTTAGTAGTCAAACCATATGTTTTTAAAAACGATAATAAAAATTATTATAAAAAGAATAAGATAGTAAAAAAATATGATCAAATAAATCCAGCTTATAGAGCAAATCATAATTATGATCTTCGTTTAATTATTCTCCGTCATGGTGAACGTATTGATCAAAGTCTTGGTCATGATTGGTATGATAAAATATTTGCTGGTATTCCATCAGCACCTCCACAAGCTTACAAACATAAATCATTACCGTATCGATTACCATATCGTTCAAATACTTTACTCTATGTATTTGATCCACCACTATCACGTACAGGTGAACTTCAATCTTATTATAAAGGACAACAATTAGCACAATTAGGTGCAACAGTTGATTATTGTTATGCATCACCTGCATCACGTAGTATTCTTACAGCAAATGCAATTTTAAAAGGTATGAATTGTAGCCATATACCAATGCGTCTTGAACCTTATTTATTTGAACCGATGAATTGGAATTCAGCGTTATTATTACTTGATAAAATAAGTCCATTTATGTCAACAGGTGATTGGAAACAAACAGGTTATAATATTGATCAACGTTATCAACGTCTTAGTAATTATTTAAATCCATATGAAACTGAAATAGATTATTATCATCGAAGTCGAGAATTTTTCGAATCAATTGAACGTCATCATAGTAAAATATTATCTCCGACTTATAGAAAACTTATTCCAAGACGACATACAACTATACTTATTGTTGGTCATGCATCATCAACAGAAATGCTTTCAACTATTGCATTAAGAAAACAATTTAATGCAAAGAGTTTTGCTGATCAATGTGCTAAAGTTCCATATTTGCATACAACTATTCTCGAACGTGATGCAATCAGTCGTCAGTGGAATATACGTCGTGTTATGAATCTTGTTTAGAATTTTGTAAAACAAAACTATGTTTTAAACATTTAAATAAAATAACAAAAGAAATGTCAAGAATCCTATGATAAACTGTCATTCATGACGATATATATACATACACATATCTATTGTATGTGTCCATGAAAAAGAGAAAAAGACAACCTTGAATATTGTGCAAACATTGCTTACTTTCTCTCGAAATTAAAGAGAAGAAAAAGTAGGCATGTTTTTACACTATACAGGTGTTTTTAGGTATATACATAATAAAATGAGAAAAACGTAATAAGAATAGTTAAAAAAAAGTCAATGTTATTCATATGAAATAATCAGTCATAGATCGGCAATGAGCGCGACAACAAACGATGATAATTTGTTACCAGTGGGTGTTGATTCTCTATCAGATTATACACCACATAAACTTCATCTTCTATTGGCATTACCTATACCTGTTAGTATAGAAACATCATCAAATAATAATAATAATAATAATAATAATAATAATAATAATAATGATAATAATGATAATTCTCCAAATGTATCAAACCAATCATCAACTAAACCGAAAAAATCATCAAAAAAAACAAATTTAATACGTTATTTTATACCAATAACTCGTATTCGTGCTTCATCAGCACCTAATGAACGAGATAACAAATATCGACCGAAAACATCAATGAAATCTATCGATCAATGTGACATGCGTCTTTTTATTATCAGACATGGTGAACGAGTTGATCGTTATTTTGGTCCTAATTGGTATATGTTGGCTTTTGATCAACAAAATCAATATCGTCCTTATCATCGAAATTTTCCTCCACACTTACCTCATCGAACAAATCAATTATTTTGGGCACTTGATACACCATTAACATTATCTGGTTTGAATGCTGCAAAAAGACTTGGTCGAATCTTTGCTTCCAAAGATTTTAAACCAAATTATATTTATTCATCACCAGCTATGCGTTGTATATTAACAACAATGCAAATTTTAAAAGGTCTTGATTTAGAAAATAAAATACCAATTCGTATTGAACCAGGTTTATTAGAATTAGGTGCTGCAAGATTTGGTATGAATATTTTTTATCAACCAATAGATTGGGTTAAATATGGTATTAATATTGATTTATCTTATAAACCTATAATAACAAATATTCCTGCATTTGAATATGAAAATACATATTATCTTCGTTCAAAACATGTTATACGTGAAATTGAAAAACTTCATAATGATCCATCATTGCCGTTAGTTAATATTCTTATCATTGCTCATGCAACGTCTCCAGAAACGTTAACATGGGATTTAATTGGAAAAGAACCGAATGTCAATGATTTATATCAGCTTTCATTAAAGATTGCTTATTTACAAACGGTTATAACTGAACGTAAACAAGAAAATAAATTATGGTCTGTAAAATCAGGACGATGGATTTAAATTTGTCTTTCGTTTTTCTGTTGGTCAATTTTTTTTTCTTTGAATGTCTTCTCTCTGTACAGACACATACACATTTAAAAACATGACAATAACTGAAGTTTACGAAAAAAAAAAGAAAAAGAAAAAGGAAACATATGTGAAAGTCGAGAAAGAAAAACCGTAGACTTTCTATCGATAATGTTGTTGCCAAACAGCGGCTGCTTCTTCCTGTGCACTATTCCAATAGGTTTGTTGAGCATTAGAAAATTGTCCTTTAGATGAATTTGTCGTTGATGCACCATATTGTTGAAAAAATCTTTGCATCATATCTGTATTTGCTGTTTGACCATATTGTTGATGATAATGTGAATGAGCAGGTGATGTACCATAGGTTGTTAATGTACGTAAACTACTATGATCTGGTTTCGCTCGTTTAAATGTTGATGGAGGATAATCACCAATAGCAGATAGTTTATTTTTTGGTTCAGCTGGCCCAACTGTTACACTACAACCTAAATAAGAATGTCAGAGAGAGAAAAAAACATAGAATTGAAAATGAATTCAATTAAGATAATTTACCATGAATAATATGCGTACCAAATAATGTTCGTACAATATTTGAATCATGAAATGTAACAAATGCAAATGAACGTACTGGTTTTGGTATATAAACATCTTTAATTGGTCCATATTTTGAAAAATATTGTCGTAAATCATCTGGTGTGATAGTATCAGGTAAACGTGCAACAAAGATTTTTCGAGCATATTCAGGTTCATGTGCACTTGTCTAAAAACAAACGTTAAAATAGCATTTATGTTTATAGATGATAATGAAAAAATATATACGATCTATTCATGATTTTTCTTTCATTATGAATAATTAATGAAATATTCTTACTTTAGAATCAGGAATTTTAACATCAACATGTCGTCCATCAATAAAATGTCGTTTATTAATAACAGCCAATTGTGATTCATAATTTTTAAATCGAATAAAACCGAATCCACGTGACTGCCCATTTGCATCCCGTTTAATCTTTTTTTTTTAAATAAACAAAATTCAAATGTTTTAAATATTTTTTTTTTAGATTTCTTGTACCTCACAAAATACAAGTTCACCAAAAACTTCAAAACATTTTTTAACATCAGCTTCAAGACTTCGATAACTTATTCCGAGAACAATTAAATCCACACAACGATGATCTGGTTCATTTTCACTTTCATTATTAGTTTCTTGTCCATAATCAAGTCTTTGAGTTATAGTTTGTCCTAATGTTGATATTGCTGATTCTTCTTGTTGTTCACCAACATCTTTTCGTTTAATATCCGATGAAACAGCTATTTAAATAAAAATGAATCAATTTTTTCTTATTTATATAAATTGCTAAATTACGTTTTGAATAAACAGTAATATAAACCGTATCTCGATCCCAAACACCATCTGGATGATAAAGTTTTCCATCTGCTACTCGAACACTTAGAAATAAAAACAAATAAAACAATAATTGATTTCTTTAGACCAAGAAAAAAACAAACGCAAAATGGGAGGGGGCTATAACCACCGCACATTTCACTCAATACACATAAAATACATTAATTTAAATATAATAAAGAACAAACACGTTCACTCACCCTCTCCACACACTCGTCTCAGAATTCCGATATTTTAATGCACTCACACCTTGAAATTGAGCAGCGAGTGTACTCAATGAAACTGAGCCATCAATACCACCATCAATTGGAATTTCGACTATTTCATTGTTGGAATTCGATTCATCAGCGACACGTATAAACATGATTCGTCCTTTAGTTTTTAATGATGAAAAGAGGAAGATAATATACAACAAGGATATGTGTATAGATAGTTATCTAAACGATCAGAAAGGATTGAATATTTTATATACTACAATATACTACAAAAAAGAATAAATCAACTAGAAAACTAGCCGGTTGATGAGATCAAGGACTGGAAGAGAAAACAAGCAAGCTTATCTTTTTTAATCATAAAAAAAATTACAGTCAATAAGGGATTTAGCCAACAGACGTCGCTATAAATCATAAATAATGACGCGAATTTTTTGCATAAACTATATAAATCAAAGATAGGAAAAACTGTTAACAGTTGACAAGTATACAAAAATCAAGTTTTTCATAGGATAAAAAAAAAATGTTTGCTTTATTAGGAATTATAAACTGATACTTGCCAAACTAGCACATACTACAATTATCATCTGATGTGTTGACAAGAAAATGAAAGAAAATAAACATAAGAGACGAGATTAAATCGTTATTTTTTCAGAACCAAACCGTTCAAATTTTCAAAAGAAAAGTTCAAATCAAATCGATGTCGATTCGATTGGGTTCGGTTCGAAATGCAATCGATTAGATATTTCATAAACGACAGTTTTTTTTCAACTAACATGCTCAGGATGAAAAAAACAAAATCCGTATACAATCATATTTTGGTGATATGACCTTCTTCAATATCACAATCGCCTGTCAATGTATCGTTTGCGGCGAAATATAACCGTAGACGACGATAGTTACGTCCAAAAATAGTCGTATTTCTTTGCATACAATACGAAGAAATACGATCGTAATATTATACCATGTAATAGACTAATATACGACGCCTAATAGTCGTTTTGAACATGTATCTGTTTGAAATGAGTAAATTATTGATTATATTTAGGTCACAGTAGTACTATGATCTGAATATAATTAATAATTTATTAATACATGCAACTTTTGAAGGTTCGCAATGAAAATATAGTTTGTCAGCAGCGTGTACATATTCGTTGACTTTATTTTCTTTTTGAAAAATGTATAAAAACAGTTTCTATTTAGATTTAACAGATGTTTTGTACATTTTACCTAGTGATTGTCGTAGATTTCTCCTTAGTTTAACTGGTTTTTGTTCTATTTTGATTTTCTGACAATATGCAGAATAAAAAAAAGAAACAATGTATTGATTAAAATCTCTGAAGCAATACATGTCGGAGAGTTATACGATGTTCGCTATCTTGTAACGTTTTTCTTTCGTTTATTTTAAACATAGATTAAAATCATGTTTGAAGTAACATATGATATAAAAGTAATGAGTCTAATGTCGCCCCCTATTTCTCTTCGAGAGAAAGGTGCTGCAGGCTACAGCAATACTTTATTTATCAGAAGATAGAGAGTTTTTATTTCTTTTGAGTAATAGATAATTTAGTTTTACAACACGTTCATAAATGAAACCTTACAAGAGAAACGAGAAACACACTCAAAACAGATTTGCACATTCATATAATGCAGAATAACAATGTAAAATATAAACCCCTATATCTCTTTAGAAAACATATATTGGAACAATAATTTTTTTATCAGCTGTTAGAAAATGCCCATCTTGTTCGAACTATATATAACTTAGTTTTGTTCCATATTCATAAACAAAATGACACGAGAAGAAACCGAAATACTCACGCAATTTATTTACAATTTCAATATTGATTCATCAAATAAATTGTGTTAAACGACAGTTAGCTATCGTATGAAGCAAGCCATTTTAAGAACAACGATTTATAATATTTGAATTATGCATAAACCAAACTTTTATCAAGGAAATATTGTCGAATAAAACTTTCGAATCAAAAATAGAATCAACTGGTGAAATCTGTTAATAACGTTGTGATATCAGTCAGCATAAATTAGCTAAGTGCTTCAAGGCTAATCCATCCAACAATCAGTGATAACTTACGAAAAAAGATATCAATTATTATCAGAAAAAGTCGAAACACTCCGTAGACAGACAATAAAGCTCAAAGAAATAAGGGTAAAAAAAAACTGCTGAAAACCACACAAAATGAATCTTCGTAGTTGTAAGGTTATTTTAGATGATGGAAACTAATTCTAACAAAATTAAGTTATATAAAATTCGAAAGAGAAAAAAATTTCCGATCAGTTGATAAGAAGATGATTGTTCCGACACATGTTACTGAAGAGATATGGATTTCATATTTTATATCGTTATTCTACATTATACGACAGTGTGAACCCATTTGAGAATGCTTCTCGTTTCTCTTGTAACATTTAGTATTGCTTCAGTACCTTTCCACCAAAAAGAAATAGGATCCAACATTTGTCCCATTACTTTCGCATCATGTGTTATATTCTTTTTCTTTGTCATATTCAAAAAAACTTATTTGATGCTCAAATACAACCAAATTTTACTTTACTTACTTCATATCTAGACTCATATGGACTGATTAGCTACTGTAACACATATAATACATTTATATGACTCTTATACGAAAAATGAACGAGAAATAAATTATAGATCTCTACAACAATTCTGATACATTCTAAATTTTATTGTATACTCGATAAATAAGAACACTGTACTAATGCTTTAAAACATTTAAGCCCAAGGTAATCCATATGTTGACATTTACATATGTCAGCATATGATAGTTTATCTCTATGTCATTGAATATCTGTCAACAACTGCCTTTAAATAATAAATAATACGTAAACATATACATTCCTATATATATAGATACACTTTCGGATGTCCCCGGCTTTTGTATTGTTTCTCTTTCAAAACCAAGATTCATCATGACGCTTCATATTTCGACTGTTATATTATTAATGATCAGTATTCTTACATCTCACGTATTTTCATATTGCATTCAAGGAGCACTTCAATCCGAAACAACGAGTATGTTATTTTATTTTATTAACATATCGTATATTTTTTTTGATTGAAAACTTTAGAATTTGGTAATACTGTTAAATATTGTGAATATAATAAAATCAAAGTATTACCTGGTGCTTCATTTAAATTAACTGCACCGGATTGTCTTGACTGTAAATGTTTAACAGGCGGTTTAGAATGTTGTGGTTATGGTTTTGCAACAGGCACAGTTGCAGCACCTGAAGGATGTATAGCTTATAATGATGCATGTAATTTGGTCTTTGTTAAAAAAGATAATGCATCTGAATTATGTTTCCCACCAAAACCTATGAAAAAAGGTAAGAAAAATATGAAAGATACAAAAAATACGAAAGATGCAAAAAGTAAGAAAACTGCTACTTAATTATTAAACATCATCTATTTAAGAAACAATACAAGAACTATTTTATTTTTAAAATAAAAGATTTTTTAGCTTATGTAGTGTAATAGAAGTGCATAGAAAAGTTGTACTGAAATTGATACTTTTTTGTTTAATGTGCTTAATATATTTGTTATATGAAAAAAAAAATATTAATAAATAAAGTCAATTTTTTAAGTTTTAGCTGTGGACATTTTTGATACTAATAAAAGAATATATATACTAAAATTTTTCTATTAGAAACATATAATCAGATAGAAATCTAATAAAATTCATAAAAAAATAAAGCAAAATTGAATAAGTATACAATAAATTTATCGAAAATAAAATGTACTGGTTACATATAAAATTTAACCATGTATATTTCTCAAGTTTAATGATAATTATTTGAATATATATGAAGTGTCCACTTTCATGTAAAGTCAATAAATACGAATAGCTACAAGAAATTCGTATGAAAGAATCGTTTGTTGATGAAAAAGAAAAATAGAAATTCAAAGTTTCGTTCTTTGCAATACTTATGTTATTACAAATTAGACTAAATATTATCAACGGGAACATTCAATATGATACATAATCAAATCAATCAAAATATATTGATATAGAAAAACTAAACTTATGTATGTAATCTCTGATAAAAAAATCATGTTTCATTTAATTATCTTCGAACCTATACTGAAAGATGATTACAATATTGTTTCTACTTATTAACTCAAATTTTTACGAGCTAAGTGAATCTTTCTGATTCAGCGATTAATTATCACAATTACACTTGAGATAGAAAGACGACATTACGTCAATCATTAAAATACTATCAGCCTTTCTTCCAATCTTATTTACGTCTAATTCAACGAAGACATGTATTTTCAATATAGTTAGTGGATCTTGTCATTGTACTAAATTTTCTCTGTATCATGTATTTTGAAAAGTTTCATTTTGTTCTTTCTATACCGAACAAAATATTCGTCTCTGTAGATTTACGTAAAAGAATTCTCTTTTGAACGATTGCGTTTTGAGACATCAAAATGACGACAATGTAATGTATTATTTTTTTAATCAATATATGTATTACTGTGGCGTTCATCAAATATATCTTTCGTTCTACATTCAATTGTCAGCAAAGGAATGGCATAGAGAATTACTCTTGAATAAGTGTTTTGAAAGAAAAACAAACGAAATGGCAATCAGTTTTTTGTTTCAATATATTACATCAGATATAACAGTTCTTTACTTTGATCGATCTTTATGACCAATACTTACCAACATTACATTGTCAGAAATGGCAAAAATCAAATCGATATTCTACTCATCAGAAACAAATGGAAGTGATTCACAGGAAATAATAAGTTGGAATTATCCAAGGTCAATCTATCGTGACCCTTGTCAAAAAACTCTTCATTGAGAAACCAGTTGATATGAAACATTGTGTGGCATTTGAATAACATCTCATTCTCATTAATTGCTTGAGAAACTTTACTTAAGATATCAAAATATGTCATGTATCAGCTACTGTTTGACATAATCTCAACAGTCCTATATAATTCTTCTGACACTTCATTATTGATCAACAAACTCGTTAAAGTGAAGAAATATAATTACTTTCTTTTCTTCCATTATCAAAAGACTTGCTGATGTCTTGTATGTATTTCCAAATATTTCTCTTTTTATATCAAATAAAACAGTATGCTTTAATCTCATTATAACACGAATAATAATTGTTCAATTGTGAATGAATTTTTAAAATCTATTGTTTGTGAAATGTAGAGTAGATAGACCTATCTCTTTTGCTTCATTGATAGGAACCAATGAATGTTTCCGTGTAGGAAAATTACAATCAACTCTATCATTTTCACGAAATTTATTTGATCAATATTATTCATTCGATAACTCATCTTCGATTAATTTACAAATTCAAGACTTTTGTAGTTACATGAATGAATAAACGAACAAAATTCATTTCATTTACATCGATTGTGGATGTTATCTTTATTTAAGATATCATTGTAAAATATTTAATTTCTAGTAATTAAGTTTAGTACATGAACTTTGACGTCACACTAGAACTTTATACTCATGTCAATTAGATACATGAGTAGATTTCTAATTTTCCTTCTTCATTCAATAAGTAATGTTAAATGAATAATCCCAGTAAATATAGAAATTCTGATATGAGTATAATACGTAATTAAATTTTGTTAGTGAATAATTGTTTATTTCAATTCTATTCAATATATGAATCCATCAACAATAAATATACTTTTAAAAAATGTTGCAATTATTAACAAATCTGTTATCAGAAACACATATTTTTTGAATCGTATCTGAATGATTGATAACTTGCTAATCTTTTTTTAATAGGAGAACAACATTCTGGTGATAATCATGAGCATATCATTGCCTTAAGATCTATCAACAACTAGTTAACTGACGACAGTACTTCAAAATAAAGGGCATAGAGTTCCGACTTATGTTATTATCATTCGTTGTCAAACCATCTTTATTCATCTAATCGAACAGAAAACTATAATTCAAAAAGAATAAAATTACCTAAAGAATCGTTATAATGTTGAGAAATATTCGTTTTTCTAGATGATCTCCGATTAGTTAACTGATTCACAATCTCTGCTATGAAATGAACAATATATGCAAAGATAATAACTGACAAAATCGCTATGATAAGTATAGGCACAGTGCATTGAATTATATTTTAAAAGAGCTAAAATTTATCTGGATTATAATATATTCTCGTTGACATCAACTAGAGAAGTATACTCAAAACTATTTCTGAGTAAAAAATATGCATTTTTAAGATAGAAATTATTTAGTATTTATCTAGTTGAAATACCTGTATTCGAGTATATTCCTTATAAACCATCTTGAAAAATATTTTTGAGCTATACCAAAAAACAAACAAAGAGATTGTCGCGTTCGGTCTGGTTTTAAAGTAAAAAAGACTTCATTATTTATTTCGCAAAGAGTTCAATATCATCAATCACATGTTCATGGATTTGTGAAAAAAAATCATAAGAAGAGCTGACGAATTGCCAATTAACTCTGACTGTTTAGTTGATATCAATTAATTGATCTCAACAATAACTGGAATAAGATTAGCAAGAGTATCTCCGTAAATACATTTAGTCGAAATAAATTTATTCAATTTAAAATCGATCATTGCAGACTTTCATCAAATTTCAAAAGTTCTATCAGAATGAATCGCAACTCTAGCGGCTGGCTTTTATCGATAACATTCACACTGTATGAGATATATTTTCAGTTAGATAATTGTATATTTGCTAGAAACGCTATCTTAGTGTGCTTTCTTTTATGTACAGATAAAATGTGCATGAAATATTTTAATAGCAATATCCTTAATCCCATGTTGAATTGATCATTCTGTGAAACTATCAGCTATGTATCACAGTAATGCAACTCACGAGTCAAGTATAAGTAAGATATTGGTACGAAAATTTATAGTCGCGTAGCACTAAATTTAAGTAAGATGGAGAGTAAAATATTTTTCTCTATTCTTTCTTTCTTTATTTGTTCTGGAGGAGTTAAATTTGCATAGATTTGCTGTTAGGTAAGAAGCTATGCATTGTAATAAGCGTTTTAATAATTGTTATGACTTAAATAAACCTGCTTCTACGAATAAGTTTGCTTCCATTAACGATTAACATGTATAGCATCCGATAAATATGATATGATCATTCATACTCAAGAAAGTAAATCTTTATTATAATCTAAAACATTAATCATTTCTTCATAGTCGCTTTTCGATTTTCTTGATCAATTAATGTTAATCTAATTGATTTTTGTGCTAATTTAGTCAATTGTTCATGTCTTTCCATTCGAAATTCTAAACTTTCCATTAACATATAATATTCTTTCATAATTTTTTCAATACACAATAAACTTTGTTTTCGCCGATAATCTTTCGATAAATTGTTTAGTTCCAGGTTTTGTTCTATTTTTTCATTCGTTGAAAAATTATCTTTTTCTTTATTAAATTTTCTATCATAACAATATTCTTCTGTTAATTCTGTCAAATTATTCAATATACGTTCTTCAATATTATTTTCATTTTTCAATTGATTATCTTTCTTTGTATCATAATCAAGTGTATGTTGAAAACTATCAACTAAAATAATAATTTTTTCTTATAGAATAATTCATAGAGGAATATAAACTTACCAAGTACAGCCATAAGAAGATTTAATAAAATAAAATTTATAATAAATATATAAATTAAACAAAAAATTAATTGAAAATTTGCATAATCACGTTCAGCACATACTTGATATACAGAATACCAATCATCAAGTGTTAATAAAGTAAAAAGAGAAAAGAATGTTTTAATAAGATTATTAAATTTTTCTGGACATATATCACCAAATAAACTACGTGCAATTATTGCTGATATACATGTTATTATAATCATAATAAATATAATACTAGCCATAGCAGGTAATGCTTTAAAACATGTTTTAACAATTGTATGAATTGGTTGAATAAAACGTATTGTACGAAGAACACGTAATGCTCGAAAACTTCGAAGTACTCGTAAAACACGAAGAACTTTTAAGAAATTATTTAATCGTTCAAATTGTGTACTAAATATTTATTTGACAAAAAAAAAAAAGAAAAAAGAAATACAGTTAACTAACTGTATTTGTTGATTATAGTCGATTTGTAAAGATGATGAAGTGTTATCATGTGTTAATTCTTGAGTTATTAAATCAATAATACTAATTATAATAATAAATAAATCAAAACAATTCCACAAAATTTTAAAATATTTCCATGAATATACCTAAACAATGAAAATTTTATTATTTAATTAATATATGATACAATAAATAATAAATCTATTGACATGATCATCGAATAAGAATATAAATAATACAAGAAGTTTATAGTGAAAGATATGATTGGATCTTTAAGGCAAACAAAAATACATCGCTGATTTTTCAAAAGAACCTATTGACACTTTTATTCTAACACAAATAAGTAGTTCTCGATGAAAACTTCTTCTAAAAGTAGTCAATGTTTATTATAGTATCAAGCAATATAAACTTGTTCGACATTAAACAAATATATAATTAACGATTATTGTTAATGTTGAAAGTTCTTTTTTTCATGAGGTAATGAATATAGGTCATCAATTTGAGTTTCAGGAACTGAGTTATCTGAAAAATTTTTATTGAATTTTCGAGAAAAGTATCCTCGACTATTGATAATGTTGAACAAATAAATTTTCAATTCTTTTAAACAAAGCGAAATGTATAATACCAATCTTATTTATATCATTGAATTGTTCACAAGCCAACAAGATATTCTTATATGGGGTGAATTATATTTTTTACCTACCCATAATTTAAAACAACATTCAAAAATATAAATACATAAATAAATTTTTTCTGACAAAAGAAAAAACGTATGATATTTTTGGTAATAACTATCATATGTTTCTAAAATCATTACAATGGTATTTGATAGAATTATACTCAGCATAAATAATGTAAAATATTTTGATTCAATTATACGAATTAATGTACATGATGAATAAGAATTATGATTAAGAAATTTATAGATTTGTGCCGCCATTTGATATACTAATGAACTCTTGTACTTTTATTTTTAACTAAGAAAACAACAAGAAACAAAACAATGAGAAAAGAAAAACCAAACAATAACGATTTTAAAACGGTTTAAATTTCCGTTGTTGTCTCATTTGTGTAATACGTTGTTTATCTAATTCAAATTTCATTTTTAATTGTTCAAGTTGATCAATTTTCTTATCAGTCATTTGAAATTTATAAAAATTAACTAATTCTTTTTTTTCATTTGAACGTTTATGTTTTGCTCGTAGACGATTTAATGTTTTATCTGTTGATGGTATCATACGTTGACGAGTTTTTTTTAATGAACGTGAAACAACTGTCCAACCACCATCATCATTATCATTATCCTGATCATTTAGTTTATTATTATTATTATTTTGAGATTGTTCATTAGATTTGACATCATTACTAGCAAGAAATTGACGAGATGTTTGTTCGAGTTGATCAATATCCATTGAAAAACGATCACGATATTCTTTTATCCATTTTGAAATACCGTTTAAACCTGATGGAATGATCTTTTCAGTTTTCTTTTTTGTTTTAGAAATTTTCATTTCAATTTTATTTTAATCTATAAGAACAAAAAATAAAATTAGTGAAAAGCTTTTTTGTATTTAGCAAAAATTTATTTAAAGAAAAACAAAATTTATTAATGAACATTAAAAAGTTTAATGAGTTGTTGTTGATTAAAAGGATTACGACATATAGGACATTGAGTAACATGAGTACCACATTGAAGACACATAGCTGAATGACCACATGTTGTTATTACTGAATCAATACAATTTTCCATACAAATAACACATTCATTTTCAGTATTAGTATTATTCGTATTTTTAGCCGATGGTCTAGCTGCACCACAAGAACGACATACAGTACGTGAACCAAAGTTCATCTCAGGACAAGAAGGACATTTCCAATCACCTGGTTTAGATGTTACTGGTGAACGATTATCGATATCCATAGGTTCCTGTTTTTGTCGACCACATTTATGACAAGTAATACGAGCAGCAAAATTATTGTTCTGACAAAATGAACATGTCCAATCATTTGGTCTTTGTGTTACAGTTGACGCAGCATTCGAACCCATAGGCTCTTGTTTTTGTCGACCACATTTATGACAAGTAATACGAGCAGCAAAATTATTATTATTACAAGATGGACATGTCCAATCGCCTTGTCTTGGTACAATTTGAGGAATACTACCAGTAGCAGCTGAATCGACTTGTGCTGGTTGATTACGAGGAGTCGAACAACGACGACAAACAGTACGTGATTTGAAGTTTATTTCTTGACATTGATGACAAGACCAATCGCCAGGTTCGCGACGACTAGAAAGAAGATAATCAACAAGGAAAAAAAACATGCTTTTACCAATAGAACTCAGATTTTATTGACTTTAAGATTATTTTTAAATTTTAACTCATCCAATTTTTTTTATCTTTTATATTATCTCAGACCTTCCCTCACAGGATTTTATTTATTCTTTTATTGTAAATTTCATCTATTGCCTTTGATAAAATGAATATACTAGTTAAATTCAAATACTTATCTATTAATATAACCTTGACTTACAAGTTTCTTGTATTTGATGATGCTGTCGACATATAGAGCAACAAGAAAAAAAGGCTTGTTTCTCTTGTTAGTTATCTATGAATGAGTATGGTAGTATTGCACAACTTTAAAGAAAGATTGCACAGATGAATGTAAGAAGCCATGGATGAGTCATTACCCAGCAATCAAATAATATTAAACTAAATATTTGAACTTCTTGAAAAATATTTTATCGAAAACAAACGATTGAAAAAACATCGAACTATCTTTCATCTACTCAATATTTTTTTGTGTATTCTCAAAAAGTCACACGTTTTATAGAATTGTATTCTTGTAAATTCTTATCTATTTAAATTAAATATACACATTTTATGTTATGCGATTTATCTGTCTATTAGTAAATATTCATTATACCTTGAAGCCCAAATATACAAATGATATTGGTAAGTACACTTTGAAAATATAGAGTTCTTTTCATACGGAATCACAAAACATTTTTCCGTAGGCACAGATTTGATAGAAAACTTTGTTTTTGTTGTAAGATGTAAAATCAGATCATTGTGTTATTCTCGAAATTCTAGTAGTCCATTATTGTTTGTTTCATCTAAAAGATTTATAAGTAATATTTCAAATATAAAATCATTAAAAAAAAATAAGTTCATTTTTTTTTATTCTAAATCTTCTATCTGACAAATCATTATCATATTTATTAGTTCATAATCTGTCTATTAAAAAAGCTCCCTGAGAAAAAATAATTTGATTGATATAACAAGTAAATACACATCAATTTTGTTTTTTTTTTTTTACAAATATCTAAATTAAAATCCTCCACGTTTTCGTTTCGCAATTGCATTACGTCGAGCAAAAAACGATGCCGATCGTTTTTTTTGTTTAACAAATCGATTATAATGTCCATTAGTTTTATTGCCTTGTTTATTTATTTTAATATAACCATCATGATCTACAGAAAAATTACTATCATCTTCTTCATCACTTGTAATTAATTTTCGTTTTGATGTTGATGTTGTTGTTAATAATGCTTTACGTGCCATGGCTTCTTTTCGTTGAATTTCATCAAGTTCAATACCAAAACGTTGTGTTATGGCTAATAAACGATGAAGTTCATAACGTTTATAACGTTCTTCAGTTATTTCATTAACATCTCTAATCATCGCCTCTTTCGTTCGACTAAATGAAAAATAATGCTCAATTGAAGTTAAGTTTAATTTAAAAAAAAAACAAATAAACATACGGCATTAATTTAACCATTTCTTTAATAGCACGTTCAGGAATAATCATTGCATGTGAATTATTACCAAATATTAATTTAAGTTCTTTTTTAAGTTCATTTAAACATTGTTCATGTAATTGTTCAATTGGTGTTTGTTGTTTACGTTTTTCATCATTTGTTATATTTGATTGTTCGGTACGTATAGTTAATTCAATTGATTTCATAAATTTATTTGATTGATTTGATAAAGCAAGATGTGCTTTAGAACCTAAACGTAAATAAGCTGCTGAAGCTTCAAACGATTGTTGTTGATGTGTAACTATTTCTTGTTGAAGATAACCATCAAGTATTAAACGACACATCAGACGTTCGAGATCTAAAAAAAGAAATATTCAATTGATTTTCATATAGAAATACATATTAGAGTGTATATAATAATGTTAATGCATAAATTACTATGATGACAATTCTTCCACAGAAACTTACGAATTTTTTTGTATTTTTTTTCAAAGTCTTGTGACCAATATTGACAGAATGTCAATTCTAGCAATTTTTAGTTTTTTTTCTATCTATGCAGGATGTACCAAATATCCGCCCAAAAAATTTACGTGAACTGAAATACATAAATCAGCCCTTTTGTAAATCTTAAAAGATGCTGTCTTATACAGATAGATTTTCACTTTATATTATCAATAAACTATTGAAATGTAAAGAGATTCCAACTAAGAAAAAAAAAAACTTACTCTCCTGATTGCTGACTATTTCTAACGATGCTATTGAAATTTGATAAAATCACTTTAAACTTATAAATGTTTTGCTTGTACTTGTTAGATAAATTGTGTCTTCATTAAAAGAAACTATGTCATAATTTGAACATTCGATAGGTGCACATTTTTACAACCATAATGAACCAGAAAAAATCACAGAAAGTATGTCTTGCTGAACCTACAGGACACCTAAGTGACCTAATTGATCATAGTCCAATGAAATCTTGATCTAGCAGTGAAACTCATTGTGATTTTTCATCATTATCAATAGTAGTTAGAAAAGTAGATGCGATACCAATTGTTAATGTTTCAGTGGAAAAGATTATTTAGCTCGACTGGATTGACATTTACTTAAAGATGAATACGTTTATCAATAAGTCCGATTGATATTATTCTATTTATTTGTTAGTATGAAAAATTCAACAAAAAGTAATAAACAATTCTTTGTCCTGTAATGACAAAGAAAACCATTCTAGAATATTTCAATTTCGCAAAAGTGATAACAAACTTTTCAACGAACTATAATGTTATTTATAGAAAAATATACAAAATTCACTAAACTGCTTAAGAGGTTATTCAAATGAAAATTTTCAGACACCATGTCGACACAAAAAAAAACATATTAAAGATATTTTCTGTGAAGAATTTCCCAGACTTTGTTGAATCTTTACTCTGCATTCTACTAAAACATAATCTGAAACTATTATCTTGATCGATTTCCGTTTTGTTCATTTTGAATTCTAATATTCTCTTCTCATATTCATCTTCGGACTAAATAATGTCAGAACTATATCGAAAACTGAATGTTATTCTTTCTATTAATAACTTACCAGCTTTACTTAATTGATTACATGAATTATAAGCAGCTAAATTATTATGTCCAGCATCACGAATACCTTTTGTATTCGCACCACGAAGTATATCCAAAGCATATGGTAATGTTATATTTTTATGTGAAAATTCTGATATCATTTTAATTATATCAATACTCATTTGTGTACAATCAATTGTTGTTGTTTTTAATACTTGTCGACAATTATCACATACAGTTCGTTTCATTCGTCTACATTCACTTGATGGAAATAATTCACCAAAATATTCAAGTAATCTAAAATAATTAAATTAGAAAAAATTTTATTCATTTATCTTTCTTTTTTTTTACTGTGTTCGTCGACAAATAACATTATTTAAACAATAATCATAAACACGATTAAGATTATCCATACGAATTTTTTTTGCTTCTTTTGTTGATATTTGTGTATCATCATCTAAAATAAATAGATAATATTAAAGTAAACATATTAAAATCATTACTTACTTAAAATAAGTCGTTTCATTTTAACTAAATCTTGATAACAAAAAAATAAATAACAATAAGATATATCACCATCACGTCCAGCTCGACCTGATTCTTGATAATATCCCTAGAAAAAAAAAGAAATATTTTGTTTTGTTATTAAAACTTGAATAAAATTCAAAACAAACTTCAATAGATTTTGGCATAGAAAGATGAATAACAAAACGAACATTTGGTTTATCAATACCCATTCCAAAAGCAATGGTGGCACAAATAACCTAATGAAAAACAAAAAAAAATAATCTGTCATATGTATGCATATATATACATCAAATTTTTCTTTACTTGACAATCATCATTTGCCCATTGATTTTGTACAAGTTGTCGTTTTGAATCACTTAATCCAGCATGATAAGATGATGCTTTTATTTTATATGCTGATAAATATTTTGCTTTTGAAAAAATAATAATATTTTTTTTAAAAAATTCTTATGAAAAGGAAGATGATTTCAAATACCTGTTTTATCACATTCAGCACGTGAAAAACAATAAACAATTCCACATTTATCAGAATAATGACTTGTTATTAAATTAGCTACTTTTTTTAATGCTGTATCTGTTGTTCCTTTTAATATACATTCATAGATTAAATTTGAACGATTAAATGATTGAATAAATAATTTACATTGATTTATATCAATATGCATTTGTTGTAAAATATCTTTTTGAACACGTGGTGTAGCTGTAGCTGTTAATAATATTACATTTATACCTGGATATTGAAGACGTAATTGACCTACAATAGTAAATCAATTAATTTATATTCGAAAATTATTAAAAATAGTCTTATTTCTTTTTCTGTAAAGATGAATATAATGTTACTGATCTACAAATAATGCTCGATATCATGTAATAATTCAAAGTAAAGGTAAACTTTTTTCTTTTGTATATTTCAAAAGACTTATGATAGTAATGATCAGTTATAGAATATGTATTAAAAATGCATTGACTTATCAAGTTAACGAGTAAAGAAGATAGATCAACAAAGTCTTTCAACAATCTATCTATCATATAGTACATTGCACCTCATATTCAATAATAAAATTAAAGACAATTATAATGATATGAAGTTGTTTAAAGGGACACCTTCACTTTTCCAACTGAAAATTTTGAGATTTAGCATTTCTTTTTACTGGAAAAGTCGGAAAAAATAGCGAATAATATCGAAATTCAAACATTATTTCGCTGTGTTCAAAAAATGAGTTTTTTTTCATACAAAAAAAAAAAAAAATGGAGAATTGCTCTTCTGGAAGAAAGTATTTGAAATTTTTGAATTTATATCAACTTTTGCTCTATTCACCGAGATTTATCCACTCTGAAAGTTTCAAAATTTTCAGACGAGTCGTTCTCCAAAAGTATTAGAGATTGACAAACTTCATCAAGTAACACTTGTTTGCTTCTTTCACATAGAAAATAAAATCAAATGGTACTGTTTGATTTTTAGAACTATAACTTAAACTCAATTGAAGGTAATTTAGTATATAATGCAGAGTATTTGGTCATGACTTTTACATTATTGAAATACTCTAAATGAAACACACACGTTCAAGTATCACTATCAAGAACCAAGACATACCAAATAAATTTGGATTTATATGCCTATCAACTTTACTATCGTATGTGTACGCTCAACTAATTTATTTTCATTTCGATTGAGAAGAAGTTTAAAATAAATTCAGTATATTTTTAAATGAAAAACAAAATTTTTTACCAAGATTTGCATAATCTGGACGAAAATCATGACCTGAAAATAACAAAAGTGTACATTCCAATATTGAAAAACAAAACGTACCCCATTCGGATACACAATGACATTCATCAATAACAAATCTAGATAAAAGTTTTCGATCATATAAATTTCTCAATAATTGAGTTAATTGATCCTATAAAATAAAAATTAATTTGTTTTCCTTTTCTACTAACGAGAGAATATATTTAGATGTTCAAGCCATTTAGACCCCATCTTTTGACTATAACTAGACCTCGATGAGATATGACTGTTCTACTGGGTATTCAGTCAAAGACACGACATTTCGAGAAAAACAAAATGGATGAGTTTCGATCTGAAACTTGATCTATGAATAAGTCTGGTGATCAGTAAAATGTTCCTAACATTTTAGTCAAAACGGATGCTCCATAGAGAGTTACTAGAATTTCAGTGCGCACCTATATTTTCATAGAATATTCTAAAGTCGAGGTGTTTCTAAAAACGAAATCTCTCGCTAAAGAAGCATCCATTTTGACTGAAACTTTAGTAACGTTCTACGAATCATTCAACCTATTGATAAACAAACTTGCAGATCAATATTCATTCATTTGACTTTTTCTCAAATGCTATGTCTTTGACTGAACATTCAGTAAAACAGCCATATTTTGGCAACAAAAGCGCGAGGAAATGAATCTTCTCCAGGTTTTTCATACCTCATCGAAGTCTAATTATGACCGAAAGATAGAACTTGAACGGCTTGAACATCTAAATATGTTTCCTCGTAAATAAAAACATAGATCTTACACTTTTAGCAATTTTTTCTGGTGTTACATAAACAATTTTCAATCCAGGTGTATGTTTATAAAGTTCTCGATAAACTTCATCTGCTTCTCGTTGTGATACATCACTTGTTAATGCTCCACAAAGTATTCCCAATGATGTTAATTTTTGTTTTTGATCAAATATAAGTGAACGTAATGGTGATATAACAAATGTTACACCTGTATCTATTACAGCTGGTAATTGATAACATAATGATTTTCCTCCACCTAAAATTAATGTATTAAAAAACAAAAAAAAAACAAAAAAGAAGAAATTAATTTTTTTGTTAATTTTCTTTCTCACCAGTAGGCATGAGTACAAAACAATCATAATGTAATAATGCAGCATTAATTGCTTCTAATTGATTCGGACGAAACTAGATAAAAATTAATTTGATAAATAGAAAACATTTTTTTTTTGTTTTGAAATAATTCATACTTGTTTTAAACCAAATGTACTATCGAATATTTTTAACATTGATTTTGTATGTGAATATGTATGATCACTTGAAAATTCAGCAGCATCATCTTTTATATCAGATAACCATTGAACTTTGTAAACATGTTGCTTATTATCAATATGATTTTCATCTTCACTATCACCATCTTCAGTATCTTCATCATAAATTGAATTCATAAAATCTATATCTATTTGTTTACTATCATTTTGTGTTATAGATTCTTGTTCATTCCATTCATCAAATAATTGATTTTGATCAAAATCATCAAAATCATCATTTGTAGATTTTTTAGTTGATGAAGTATTTTTAGTTTTTAATTTTTCACATTGAATACAACCATTTTGATTATTTTTATATATAAAACATTGAAAACACATTGTATGACCACAAGAATCTTCACTTATTGGTCGATGAGATATGAGATCATAAGATTGTGTACATAATGGACATGTTAATGAAGATGATGGTTCAGATATTTTTGAAGTAGACGGTGATGTAATTATTGATTGTGGTTTAATGATAGAAGAACATATTGTATTTGATTCAGATTTATTAATAAGAAAAGATGAAATAGATGTTTGAGATTTTTTTATAACTGACGATGATTCAATTTTTGGTGTTATTTTATTGGAATTCTGAAAATGAAAAGTTCAATTTACAGTATTCAATATGTTATTAGAGAGAAATAATGATGATTGAAATGAGTTTAATTTAATTTGAACACAATGTTAACTCTATTTTAACATGTGATTTTCTTGAAAGTCTTTATTAGTTCGTTTTATCAGCTTTGAAAAATATATGATGAGTAAATTGTTTTAGAATGAGCTCAATATCTTTGAGTTTTTATTTCATATTATGCTCGATTCAAAGTATTCCCATTGTTAGAAATAATCTTCAATTGATTTTTACATAATTTAAGAATTCGAATACATCATTACACACTGTTAGTTTTCATAAAGTTCAAGTTAGTGTTTTACGCAGCGTCTCTGTGAAGATTAGGTTGACTCTTCCAAAGAAGAAAATCTGGATAAATCATCGATGCAAATGTTTATTATTTGATGATATTGAACAACTCAATGATAATTAATAAAACACAACTCGTATTCCATAGTTGTATGCATTACTATCGATAGGAGAACAGTTACTGTGATATACCGAGGTATCATAACAGTCAGAGGATAATCCATCGTTTAAGTATCGAGCTATTGCCGATTGATTGTTGGTGTACTGGTAGCTATTGTTGCGTTTATATTTATACTTACATTTAGACTTAATGATAATTTCGATAAATCTCGACTAGGTGTTTCAACAGATGAACTTCGTAAGGATGAATCGAAAGATGTAACATTAGAAAAACTTGTTGGTAATTTTGATTGTGTTTTTGATGGAGATAACCGTGGAAGATCAAATATTTTTACTGGCAATGATCTTCGAACAGGAATAATATCAGTATTTACACGAAATATAGGTCTATATAAATCATTAAAAGAAAAAAAGAATCTTAATTTTGATTTTTTTACTTAATAAAATTCAACTTACGTAGGCAAAGGATTCGGTTTAATCACCTTTGTTTGAACATCTTTCGTATAGTCATAAAAAATTTTCAATTGTTCTGATAAATTATTTTTAATTCGAGATGTTCGATCAATCATTATCAAAGCTAATTTTAAAAAAATACATTATTTTTTCTATTAATTTATTAACGGTTTACATTTGTTCGCTATAGATTCAAACCAATCGAAGTATGTCATCTATAATATCAGATGGCGCTGGTAATCAGTGACTAGATGTCATTAATATGTTTGTTTGATTCATCTCACCATCGGCGCATCTATTTTGTTTATTTATTTCATTTCATTAGATTTTGTTGTGTTTAGTGGTTAAGCTTAGAAAAAAAAGAAAAATTTTTTCTTCTTTTTTTTTCATGGCTTCGTCATCACCATCATTATGTCAACAATTACAATGTGATGCATTTCAATTTACTATTTGTCGTCATTGTCAATTATTTCTTTGTATAAAACATTTAGCTGAACATCAACAACAATTTCCAACAGATTTTCAACGTTTATTAGATGATGCACGAAGACAACAAGCACAATTATCAACGTTTGATACAAGAATATCTGAACAACGTTTAAAATTAAATCAAACACTTGATAATGATATAACACAAAATAGACAATTAAATACATATTTACAATCGAAATCAACACAAGATGATATGCGTTCATGTTTTAATCGTTTTCAACAAACAACTTCATTTTTACCTGTTATTGATAAAATTGGACAATTTATTAGTGAACATGATACAACAATACAAATGAATAATACACAATTTGATGATGATAGTTTATTTGCTGCATTTGGAGGTTTGTTTTATTATTAAGAAAAATACTTTTTAAATGCATTTTTTTTGTTTTTCTAATTAGATCAAACATCACATTTATTATTCACATCTGATTATAGTAAAGAAATTTAAAAAAAAAACAAAACAATTAATTTGAAATACTTAAATTATATTTTTCTGGAAATTTAGATTCATCGGATTTAATTAATAAATTCTCTCGATTTCCAACATCGAATATAAAACAAGATCAAAGTAAATAAATATATATTTTATTCAATTAGTTATATTTTTTGAAATATTAATCTATTAGTAAATTTACCAAAGAAATGATGAGAATAATACAGTTACTAACGAGTAGTTACGAGTTGTACTAGTGTTATTGTCTGATTTATACTAAAATAAAAAATAGCCTGATGTTCAGATAATAATACTGAATTATCGCATCTTCATATATTTAGATTTTTCTTCCTATTCCAACCAAAATAATTCTTCTTCCAATAGTAAGTTAAAAAAAAAACAAGTTTAAGATTAATTCCTCAATCTTATTTCTAGATATCAAAGACACTGAAGTTGATGATGAACTTCCTGAAACGTAAATATTTATATTCATTTAAAAATTTTTTATTAATTTTCTACTTGTTATTTTAGTGATGTTAATCAAACGCACAATTCTTTAACAGTAATTATTAATTTCTTTTTTTAATTATTAAATATTTCTTCAATATCAGGTTCGAGAACTAAAAACATATAAATGTGACTATTGTCCATTATCAACAAATACCTATGGTATCGAACCCCATCATCAAGTTCGTTATATTCCATGTATTCGTCGATCAACATCTCAAATATCATTATTTGAACATCTTAAACAATATCATTATTTAAATTATGCTGCTTCAATGCAAATTGTACGTTTAGTATCATCCGGTGATCTTGAAGATCATCCAACATTATTTTCTTCCGCAAGTCAATCAACTATTGTTTCAATTCTTCCATCATTTTTTCGTGCACCATGTCCACTAACACAACATAATGTATTTGGTCTTGGACCAATGCATGGTATACGTTTATGTTCACCATCAACTGAACAACAAGATTTTGCATTATATGATCATTTTCTTGCATATCATCAATTAAATCGTGCAAGTGCTATGAAATTAGTTAAAGCTATGATGAAAAATGAAAATAGTAGTCAAAGAATATTATTTCGTCCTGATGAACAAGTTTTAAATCAAACAGCATATGTAACATGTCCATTAAGTAATTATGATGCTATTTTACCGCATCAAGAACGTATACCACATACACCCTGTCAATCGACAGTTAAATTACGTTATTTAACTGGACATTTACGTGATGTACATCATTTAAATAAAATTGCTGCCAAACGTATTGCATCAGCATTACGTCATGAACAAGCAAATAATAATGGTAGATCCATTGGTTTATTTGAAAGAGATGAAAATATTCTTAAAGCGAAAAAGAAAAAGGTATAAATAAAAATTGATATTTAAAAAATACTATGGGCATTTAAAAAGTTCTGAGAATTTTCAAAAAGGACCGTGTCGGATTTGGTGATCTACTCAGAATTAATAAACTAAACATACCATGTTGTAGAGCAAGTCGAGGTGCGTCGAATGGTGTATAATAAATCTTGTTTTCAAAAAATTCTGAGGGAACCAGACTGGATTTATCGATAGGTGATCATATATTCAAAGCACTGACCATTTTGGACCTTGGTATCAGTCGAAAGTATTTGTAAAAATAATTTTTCTATATACAGTTTTGTAGAGTTTTTTACCGACTACAAGATTATATACTTAGTACCTCCGATCATTCTATTTTTGATAAAGAGAAATGCGACTTTTCGATGACCCACTATCGTTTTTCACGGGTAATGCCTGTCGGTGAGTCTTTGAATGCATGGCTGCCAACCAGTAAATCTAATCTGGTTTTCTCATCATTTTTTGAAAACAAGATTTATTATATACCATTCGACGCACCTCGACTTGCTCTACAACATGGTATGTTTGGTTTATTAATTCTGAGTAGGTCACCAAATTCGACACGGTTCTTTTTGAAAATTCTCAGAACTTTTTGACTGCCCATAGTATATTGAACCTTTAAAAAACGAGAAGATCTTCTTTCATATTCAAATACGATAACAGACATTTATTATATGTATTAAGTAAAAAGAGCATTTTTAACGTGTATAAAGAGACGAGTCATATTAACTTCTGTGTTTTTCATGTTTTTTAAATACATCATAACACATCGCAATTAGTATCTTTTTCTTTTAAGGAAAGTTATATATTACTAAAAAACAACTCTATCTTGTTACACATTTGAATGCTGAAAATTACATATTTTCTACCAATTACTATCTATTGAAATACTTTACGTCTAATGAACATAATTTGAACACTAAGAATCGCCATTTTTTCCATCTTATGCAGTGGATTAAACTACAGTTTTTTTCTTGGTTTGAAAACACATATTATTCCAACTTCATTTTTTGTCATCTTACAAGGGAACATTCCCAGGTGCCCATTCGCTTTTGAGTTGGGACTTTGCACATCTTGTAGACCTTAGTGAACTATATCTACCATAAAAAGATTTCGTGCCCATGGCGTGTTCCTGGTGAGATATCGAGTTTTTAGTGAATTTTTTCTATAGGATCCCACTTTTGCAGCAAAGCTATGGGGTTGAATTTTGACCTGAAACTTTGCCCATATAAAGGCCTCAGCTAGACTAGCTTGCAAAAAAATTTTAGAAGTTTTGGATAAAGTTTCTCCGAGATGTAGAACTATCAAGGTACAGACCCTTTTTCATAGATAGCATATACAATATGCATTTTTTGAAAGCTTCGTAGCTCGGAGACTTTATCCAAAATTTCTAAAATTTTTTTTGCAAGCTAATCTAGCTGAGGCCTTTATATGGGCAAAGTTTCAGATCAAAATTCAACGCCATAGCTTTGCTGCAAAAGTGGGGTCCTATAGAAAAAATTCACTAAAAACTCGATATCTCACCAGGAACACGTCATGGGCACGAAATCTTTTTATGGTAGATATAGTTCACTAAGGTCTACAAGATGTGCAAAGTCTCAACTCAAAAGCGAATGGGCAACTGGGAATGTTCCCTTGTTAGTGTAAAAATCTAGTTTCTGTTGTTTCGGAGAAAAAATGTCATTTCTTTTTACATGTTTATCATTTCTATATCTCTGCGAACTTATGGCAACTTTTGCTATCTCAACTAATAAAAATAGACATATTACTATTGAATAAGCAATGCTTTTTTATTTTCATCTAAATAGCAAATAAAAATTTTTGTTTATTTTTTATTAGAACGCAAATCGTTTTCGACCTCCAACTCAATTAGCAAAACATGTTCAACAAAATAGCAATCATCAGCCACAACCACCGCCACCAATTTGGTGATGACAGAAAAAATAAGCATTAATATTTTCTGCATGTCGAATAGATTGGTCATACTGTTTTGAGTTTTTTTCTTTTATGGCTCTTTATACCAGTAAATTTGTCTATTCTCGTCTTTTTTTTTCTTTTGTTGTACATAACTTTTTTCTTTTGACTATCGAACTTTTCTTTTGTTTTTTTCTCTTGTTCTTTGGATTTATGTGTGTAAGCAGTTGCTTTTTCTTCCCGTTTATTGTCACTTCTTTTTTTCTCGTTTTCTTTTTTATGGCTGCATGTGTGTGTGTGCGTGTGTTTATGATTGTCATTGTTTAATATATAGACTATCAAGGATATAAGACAATAATTTGAATCTTATTTAAATTCAATAGAAAAACATGCATATGATTTATTTGTTTTTGTAGAATATTATTTTATCAATGATATTAAGAATAAAAATTGGTGAGTGAAAATTACTTTTCTTTTTATAAGTGAGGCATTGTACTGATATTTTTGACTGTTACGTAACATTTATTTGTTAAAGAATTTGAGAAAATGTTCTTATTATATTATATTGTATTTTTCATTAAAACAAACATACCTTCACGATGATTTCTGTGTTTTTTCATTGAAATATTAACATTAAAAGAAAAATAAGTAAACAGAGATTTTATAATTTTCGAATGAGAGTTGAAATTTAGGTATATTATGTCCTAGTTTGTCGTAGGCACACAGTGAGAATTCTTAATGGAAGAAAAAAAAACATTCAAGTTAAGTAGTGTCGAATGAAACTATAGTCTTATACACGTTTTCTCTTTATACTACAGATTATTCAACATTATCAGATATCATTAATCATTCAACTATTCAGACATTTGTTAATCTTTATGAGCAGTATGAAAAATTCGATTTAGTATAAGAAAAAGTGAGATCTTTGTATTTGATGAAATAGGAAAACAGAGATTTAAATAAAAAAGATTACTTTGTTTTTTATTTAGTAAAGGAGATTAAAACTTGATTACTGGTACAAAATTATTGTATATCAAAGAGAAGCTTTGTTTTATCTGGTTATGTTAAAATAAGTATGAGCCTTCAGATAAGTTATAAATTATAGCTGAATCGTTTTATTTTATGTTGCAATATACATAGTGTAAAACGCATATGAAACTTGGTTGTTTTTTATTCTATAGTACTCAATTTATATCTTTCTTTTGTTCTATATGTATTTTATTCTGATGATCTATTACTGTCAAAATATTCATATAAAAAAATGAATCAAGTTGTGACAGATGATGAGCACATACTTTTTCATTACTTCGTAAAATATTTTACCTTGATTTCTTTTGTCACTTCAGTTTTTTTCTCGTAACATTGTCTCGATGTTTATTTTGTGTTAAGAATATCTCCAAATAACAACGAACGTTTTTTTTCTAATCTAATAAATAAATTAATTTTAGATTCATATCTCGAATGTAAACTCATACCTATAGTACAAATCCTAATATCTTTTATTAGTCAATGTTAAGTAAGAAAACATACAAATAAAAATTTGCCGATTTTTGTCCGCATTGACAGAAAAAAAACACCCTAAATATATTTTCTATAACAAACAACAAAACAAACCTTACAAGGGAAACATTCCCATGTGTCGGACGCTGCTCAACTTGATATGACGGCTACAAGAAGATCTTGATGAGACTAAGAAAAGCGTGAAAGAATTCGAGTCAATCAACTGCTGATGAAGAGTTATAGCTGTTTTGCTAGAGTATTTTTGTCAGAGTATGTCATTTCCGAAAATATCAAAATGAGGAGTTTCACATTGAAATGTTGCCTTTAGATAGAACTAATAATCATTAAAAATTTTTGAAAGCTTCATACAAAACGAACTTGTCATTCTTGAGATACTCAACTTTTAAGTCAATTGAGCTACTAAATATAACTATAAATTTCAAAGCTTTTTGATATTTGTTAGTTCTATTTACAGACACTATTGAAAAGTAAAATTCTGAATTTTGATACATTCGAAAATGCCTTATTCTGACTAAAAAGTTCAATAAAATATCTAAAATTGTTCCACAGTACGTCATATGACAGTTAGGTATATTTCATAAGTTTTGGCTTTAATTAATATAGTTGTATCTTGGTTGTATTTAAAGAATAGTATATAAGTTATTATACAAGAGAAATCGGATTCAGTTTCTATCACCTCAAAGAATAATACTACATTAGTAAAAATATAAAGAAAAAATTATTAAAGTTACTATTTCGACGTAGTTGAACGTTACAGAAAGTCATCTTATTCCCCTTTGGTCAACTATATCTTCGTGAAGACACAAGTAAATACTCCGTGATTTTCATTATAGATGGATTTCAGTTAGATCTACAATTCATGAAAATTTAATATGTTTCAGTACAACTATAGCAGAGCTATTCTCAAAATATTCACCGTTAGGTCATTTCAGTTTTTTTTTTGAGATTCCGCAGTAGTCAATCGTTTGAGAATGAAACTGTTTTCGCTGTACAAAAACGAATCAAATTTTCATCGACGATAGATCAAGTTGGAATCCACGTATAATGAAAACTCCATCATATTTGCTTGTTTCTTTACAGAGATACGGTTCACCAAAAATGAAGAAAATGAATTTCCTAACATTTGATCATTTTAAATTGATGCAAAGTGCTTTCAATTTCTCTTGGATGATAGCTTATATGCTTATCTACAAATACATATATTCAATATCCATTTGCCTTCAAATATAACCGAGATATAAAAAAAAATAGAGTCGAAAATTATGAAACATTCTGTATTTGTGCATAAATTGTATTTATCATTATTGAAATTTTTAGAAAAAAATGAATTAAATGAAAACAAAATAGAAAAAAAAGAAAACTTAAAAATTTTTTTAAGAATCAAAATATAGATCAATGCAATCTTCGACCTAAAAGTAAAATGTTATACGCAACTTTATTTATATCAAATGAGAGAAAACAGTAAATATTCAAATAATTGCAATAGAATTGATATTACGTTTAAGGATTTTTTTGTGACCACTGTATAGTCTGAAATAGTATCTATCTACTGAGTTGAGTTTCCGATCCAAAAATTATCTTTAAACGTTAAAGAATTCGACAAGAAATAAAACTAGCGAAAGCTGTATATTGTTTTATGTTTATCTCAAAGTAACTTTTTCATGAAAGTAAGTAAGAAAAATCCTCTCCCATTTTTCCGCTCTATTGCGTCCGATCGAGTTGAAACATTCTCCACCTACAATATATACTGTTTGCGATAGGTATTTTGTTTATTGCTTCAAAAACTATTATCCTGCTCATTTTTTGGTATCTCTTGCAATGAAAAGCTTTATTGAAAAAAGTGCGTTTTTTAGGATATCTTCGATGCTTAGACCTTTTTATATTCGAGGCATAAAAAATATAGAGACACTCATCCCAATCAGTATCTAGTACCTGAAAGAAGGAAATTAAAGCTCTATTAAACATAAAATTTCGGGGAAACGGAGGCGAAAATTGAGGCTCTTTTTTCGCCATTGTATTTCTATTAACTCATAAATGATAGCATCCGTGAACTTTGAATCTATGATAGTTTTTTCTGTATTCATCAAGATCTACATGCTCTGAAAATTTCAAATTTTTCTGATGAGCCATTTTTCAGACACTTCAGAACGAGATGGGTACCCGTATATGATTATGTGTACCCAAAATCATAGTCAAAAAGTGGTATTCATAGGTTAGAGTGATCTCTTGAAATTTATATATGAAAAAATTTTGAGTTTATATAATTAATAATAATCACTAGTATGCTTCTAAATGTCGATATACTAGCCAACTTTTGCAAATAATTAAACACCTATTAAAATTAATTTCTTCCACTTTTCTAGAATAATAAGAAACGATAAGGTTATTATTATTATTAACTATTTTAAAACATTTTTAGTTATTATTTCAATTTTTTTAAATATCAGACAATAATTTTCATAATCACGAAAAGCTGATTCAATATGAGTAAGCAACAATGTTTTCTATTTAATATTTTAACATGCAAAGCTAGCTATTTTTTCTTGCTTAATATAAACGGGGAGTTCAACTCAAAGTCATCTATTCTTTTTTTACTATAAATAGTTTGTATACGTTTTTTTCTTTTTCTAGCGGAGCTTTTTCCTTGATTGGTTGACTGGAATATTTTCGTATTAATCTATGTGCTTGAATTATTTGGCTATTTGAATTATTAACTGAAAACTATAGTATACGTAATATTCAGCTATTCGAAAATTAATGGATTAGTTTTGTGCACCATTGTTGGCTGACTCAATTTCTACATGCAATAGGATTAGTCTGTTTCAATTTCCATGAGTGAATCTAATATAAAACGATCCCATTGTATTTATAAGCACAAACCTAAAGAATGAACTTAAAAGGATGAGAGCTCATTGTTTATATGACTAGGACTTTTTCTGGTAAGATTTTATTATATGCTATTAAAAACTAAATCGAGTAGATCTCATCTGTAAACTGCCGCTTCAGACGTTTTAAATACTCTGGAAAATGAACATCGGCAAAGTTGGCTATTGTCGAAATCAATATTATCCATTATAGATTGAAAGATTTTATTATAAATAATTTACATAGATCATTCTATAGATTATATCTTTTGCTGAAAAAGTAAAATATTTTCAATAGGTAGTTCAATTCTTAGTAGAAGGTCAAGCAAATAATTCACACTACATTTTGAGAAAATCTATCGAATTGTAAGGCTTTTGCCAATGAAAACAACGAATGCTTACGTTTACTAAACAAATATAATTGGCTAGATTTTGACATTGAGTTTCAACTCACACTTTAGTTTTTAGAGTCAGTTTTTTTCCAATTTAGAATTTTAAATCGAAAAAATCGGATAATCAAATTACTTTGATCTTCAAAGCCATAAAATAATAATCTTATAGGATCAAATGATATCTGACTATATCTTCGATACACTCGTCTCGTTGTTTCATTCTTTTCATTAATAAATTATCATCGTTATTCTCATGGTTTTAATCTTCGTAAGTGTGTAAAAATCACTCATTTGATCACTAGAGCTTTTCTCTAATATAAAAATATCGATTTATTTTTCAAATTTATTAATTAATAAGTTTTCTTTGATAAATTGTCGTTTATATGATTTAACAGAAAAATTGTTCAATATTTATATTCTGTCGTAAAAATGAACACCAGTCACTTTATTTATTGATTACACATTAAAACATAATAAATGATCATATTTGATCAATAAAATATATTAATTAAAATTCAAAAAAAAAAAAACACAAATTAAAAGATTTTATTTTCAGATTGAAATTATTCTCTTTTTTTGTTTTTGTTTTTCTAATGACACCTGATCCACCTGATGATGATAAATGTCAAGTATCTATGTGTCATCAAACACATTTTACTTATTGTCCACATTGTAAATTATTCGTGTGTATAGAACATCTTAATGAACATTATTCAAATTATAAACAAGAATATCAATTGTTATTAAATGACGGTAAACAACAGCAAATATTAAATAAACAATTTATTGATGATATTGAAAATGAAAAAAAACAGTTAATAAATTTTTTTAATCGTGAAATACAATATTACGAAATAAATGATAAATATTTTCATGAAAAAACAATACAGTTAACAGTAAGACCACAAGATTGTGCTGATTTACGTTTACATATATTACAATCATCACAAAAACGATTAAAATTTAAAAAATTTATGCATCAAATACAACAATTAATTAATGATTATGAATATCATCAACCAAATGGCATTAATGATGGTAGAAAATATTTTCTTAATGAATCAAAAAATTAATTTTTTTATGTTTTTTTAGAAACTTCTAGTCCATTAGTAAAAGTTAAGAGTGAAGAGATTATTACTAAACCTAAAAGTATGTATATAATATTATAGGAAAATAATTTATTGATTTTTATTTTTATTTTTATTTTTAACTTTTAGTAAGTAAATCGTCACCTTTAGCACAATTTTCTATTGATTATGAAGAAATTGATGATGATGATGATGAAGAACAACAACAGCAACACAATACTAATGGTCATTCTCAAAATAATCAACAAGAAGAAACAAAGTAGATATTTTCTTATATGATCAACAGAAAAATATTAGTCCGAAATATTAGTAGAAAGCGATCTCGATGAGAAAGATTCGAGTTTTAAGATCTATCTTGCACATAAGACAACGTATTTACAGGAAAACTAAATACTGTTTAAGGTTTATTGACTACGATAATATTCTATTCGAGATTTTGAGTATTAAAAACTGTTGCTTTTCTTATCGGCTTTTTTTTTTCTTTTTAAAATTTGATACTGTACAAAAAAGAATTCGTAATTCTAGTCACTCCGATGTTAGAGCTTTTCGATGGAAATTTGATCATATACTAGCGTGATCTAAAAAAAACCTTACTTCCTTAGAAAGTTTAATTTCTGAGCTCATAAAATTCTTTTTTTTTGAAATCAATTTGTTTGTAATAGATAGAGCTAGAAAAGAATCTATTAAATAAAAGTATCTTTCTTTTGACAACACTCTACCGTTAATTAGAAGAAAAAATAAAAATTCGATAATGAAATAATGTGATAAGCTAAAGTTTCAAGCTCTATTTATAGATGTTGACAGGTTAAGTAGACATCAATTATTTCGAATTTTTTAATTAGATTCTTTCGTCACTTGAATTAGTTTTAATTACAATCAACTATATGCTATAGATAAAACCTCTCAATGACTAATTATATGCATAAGATCTTGATAAATTTTGATTGCATAATTCGAAACACAGTATGATATAAGAGAGAAGCAACGAACAACAAGTAATATTAAACTTAAATAATTGTCTGAAAGTGAAAAAATCTTCGGCACACAATCCTTGTTAAATCGAAATGTTTTTCAAAGTGAATATACTACTTGCTCTATAGCTATAACAAATTTGAAGTCAATAGTAACTTTAATGAAAAGGTCTTTTGTTTACTTTTCAGTGAGAATATATCGTTGCAACAGAAGTTTCCTATTTAACGAATTTATTATTTGTCTCTAATGACGTTAGAATGTTTTTTACAATCAAAATATTTTTATATGATAGTTTTGCCTTAGCTATATCTATCAGAGGAAGAATGAGACTAAAAATTAACATCGTGACCATATCTAATAGACTATAAAATTGGATGTCACACACGAACAATCAAATCTGATAGAATGTGGTCCTAAATTAAGATTCTCTAATATATTAAGTTGGTTAGCAATTACTTAACTATCATATTTATGATAGATATTCAAAATGTATCAAAATTCAACATAAACTTCCATAATATAAAAAGTTATCCTTGAAAAAGAAAACATTTAATATGTGTGATACATATATAGTGCAGAGATGAACTTATTCCTTGATGTTTATTGTTATTTTTTTCAATAGTATCAAACTCATGTTCAGAATTCGTTATGTAAATAATCATTAATATCTCGATGTTCAAAATGAGATGAATAGTTGGTGAAGACGTTAGTAAACATGACTAGTTACTTAAACATTAATGTTTTTCAGAGGCGATTTAATTACTTGAATGAATTCTTTTGTTTTCGTTAGAAAATTTCATATGTTTATTTCTAGCATTCCAAATGGTACAAATTCAAGTACAACTAAGAACAGTAACACAGAAACGGCAACTTCAAGTAGTAAAGACATTCCTAATGAATCCATTCGATCAGGTAACCAAAAAAAAATCATATTTAAAATAAGAACAATCGCACTATTGTCTTTTGTTTGAACTATTAGACGATGATACTGATGAAGAAGATGAGACTGATAATGATAATCTTGGCTCTGATCCAGATTTCGGTGGTGAACATCGAATAGTTAGTACAAAGTTAGTTTTAATGTTACTTTATTTTTTAATCATATAAAAAAACAATTCTATTTTTTCCATGTCAAGTGTACGTCGTAGAAAAGATGCTTCATCATCGGTAAAATAATATATGGTTTCTTTCAAAGTATCTCATATTATAGTTTTTTTTGCTTATATTTAAATATAGAAACCAGTTGTAAATCATTTTCAAGTAAATATATGTCCATTAACAAATAAATTATATGGCATTGATTTAAATAAACATCCATTACGACATGTACCATGTTCACGTAGTAATATATCATCAATTTATTTATTTACACATTTACGTGTTTTTCATTGTCTCAGTTCTAAAGCTTCATGTACGTGTGAAAAAAAAAAACAAGAAAAAAAAAACTTGTATATTGAAGAAATATTGAATTTTTTTTAGTACGTCTTGTTCGTCATATAATGTTTAATGGTTGTGAACGTGACTGTGATCTTTTTTCACAATCAACAGAATCAATTGTAAATATTTTACCGAAATCTTTTCGTGGTCGTTGTCCATTAACAAAATTAGGTGTATTCGGTCTAAATAAATTTCATGATATAAGATTATGTGAAGAAAGTCAAACACATGAAAATACAGGTTTATTAAATCATTTTGTTGTTTATCATTGTCTTTCATATCCATGGGCTAATAAATTATGTAATGCAATGCAAGCAGGCGATTGTGATGGTAGTAAACAAATTTTATTTAAACCAAATGAACCGATAAAAGCTAAAAAATGGTTAACATCACAAGGAAAATTAATTCTAGCTAAACGTTATTCAGCAGTACGAAAACGAAGAAAAAGACTAACAAATAAAAAAAGAAAAAAATAGATTATGTGTGTATGTCTATTTTTTTTAATTTTAGTCTAATGTTTTTATTGATGTTTAATTGTATATGTATGTTTTTTATGGAAACTATTTTAATGTTGTAGCATTGTTTATTATTATAACATCAGATACATGTTTCATGGCTTTTGCTTGTTGATTTGTTTTTTAATTCCATTTACAGATATATCGTTTTTTTCGATTATATTATCAACAGACTATCGTTGCCGAATTTTTTCATGTTTGAATGCATGATTTATTGGTTTGAAAATGAAATTTTGAGGATTTAATTGGCTGTCATTTCCTATCGATGTTCAATATATACATATGTATATACATATATTTTATTTTTATCACGAAATTAACTTGAAGCTTATACAAGTATATCTGATATCGAATAAAAGCCTTTGCTGTTGGTTTTTAAAAGAAAAAAATCATCATATACATACAATATCTTTTGTAAAAGGTTTTGTTTTGTGTGAAATTCGTACCATAACTTCATGTTGACACAAAACTTTGTCTTCAACTGATATTTGAATAAGCCTTTCAAGGATTGTATATTTGATATGATCAATACTATGATACTCTAATCCGATTTCGTTCGTAATCATGATATATCGTATGTCATTGGAAAAGTATCAACAACCAGTTGATCATCGTTCACACATTATCATGTACAACCGTCATGATAAATTGTATCTTAAAAGTTCAATAAATGCTATGGCAAAAGTTGAGATGATTAGGATATAAATATCCATTTCTTTTTTTCCTTCTTATTACTAGCTACATTGAACAATTTCAATGTTGGATTGTATATGAACGGTTTTATAGTGCTTTTCAATCGCCTGACAATATTGAATTTTTGACTCAAGTTATATAAAAATTCATAAGAACCAGTAATACATTCAATTTCTACCAGTAAAAATAAAATAGCAGATTTCCAATGTTTAAAAAGCTTCTAAGAGTAATGCTTAGTCTCGATCTCATTTTCAGCGATAAAATAAGCCGAAGCAGTAGGAATGGGACCGTTGCATTCATAGTTGTGATGTAAAAACAAAAAAAGAGCCATTTTACATTTTGTACTTTCTTAATGTTCATGATCATCATTAAGATCCAACATTAATAAAATATTATATTAGGTATCCTGTGTTTTCTTTTTGAATAATTCTTAAAAACAAAGTTTACAATTTAATTTTCACTGTGTTAGAATTAATTGATTTCAATATAAAAGATGATAATAGATAATTGGAAGCATTTTACTATTAGGAAAAACATTCCTCATATTTAGGATCAACAAGCTTCAATATTGTTTAAGCGTTTTTGATAATGATATTTATCCTTACTCATATTTTTAGGAGAATAAACAAATCCATAACACAAGATGTGGAAAAAAATCGATTTACATAATTGATTTCAGCAGTTGATCAATAGACATATCTCATCAAATTCAATGATTATTTTAAAAAAATTCGAAAAGACAAACACTACAGATTCATGCTGAGAATTTCTAAAGAATGTTTCTCGTAATAATATTTTTTTTTTCTAAAAGATGTCTTCTTCATATTATTTATTCCATAATTATATTTCTGAAATATATTTAAATAAGCATTATAATTAATGAAAGATGAATATAAACAAGATATAATTAATATTTATAACGATTTCAATTCAAAACCATGATCAAATAATTACATGAAAATGACTTAATAGATCATTTGAGATTTTTTTAAGTGCTGGACCCATAATGGATGGTTTTCTTCAAAAATAAATGCATCAATTTCTTTAATATTTTCTTGTTTGTTGATCAAAATCCATTTGAGCACATCGGAGTACCATGTTGAACCAGATTTCTTCATTGCAACACTGCAAACATTTTTTACGACAAATAGTTTATATTTATATATTTTTTTAAATGCATATTGCTTTTATCATGGTTCTCTTCTTATTCACTGTCAATTTCTCATCTAGTATTGCACAATCTTATTGTAAAATTTTAATAAAAGAAGAAAGTTTGAAACAAAAATTGATCTAGAAGTTCAGTCGATGAATAGAATTACTAATATATTTAAATATTATCGCGCTCTGTGTAAACTTTCTTGTTTTTACACGCTGAAAGCTTTTGTTTATATGCATCCATTCCATTAACAATTAGTGTACTGTAGAAATATCAATCAACAACAATCATCAAATCAGACAATAAAACATCTCTGTCATATTCTGAATTATTTTTCGAGTATTTGTTGGAAACCATGTGTATCTTACTATTGATTGAAAAAGAAAAATTTACAAAAAAAAGCGGTATCTTATCTTTAAAAAAAAACTAGATCAAATCTATTTCTTTGGATCAATACAACAATGATAGATGTTCTGAGTTTTTAAACTCTATTAAGTCCATTTCTTCAGATTAAACAAAAGTGATCAATCAGATAAGTTTTCTCATTAATTATCAGCTTTATTCTATAATTCGGATTCCAACTATGTAGAAATAAGTCGATACAAAGTAGCTAGTGGAAATTTAAAATAAATTTGTTAAAAACGAAAATTATATTGTCGTTCTTATCTACACTTAAAAAATTAGTTCATTTAAGAATAAATTAATTAAAAGGAATTTATGTGGTTCTTACCCTGGTTAACAATTTTGAAGTAATATTTCCCTTATCATTCATATTTTATTTTTTCTTGAAATTGAATAATATTTCTGATGACTAATAGATTATATTTTTTTTTTAGTCAGAATATGAGATATAGACTGGATGAACAAAACTCTAGATTAGATTTTTTTTCAAAATTAATATCAGTTAAAAGAAGAATCGCATATCAGTATAATTTCGAGTTCATAGTCTCATAGTGAAGAAAAATGACCAGGCAAGAGATTCATTAGTTATTTAACAAAAAAAGTTAAAAGTATATATGTATTCAAATACTTAAATATTTAACTCAATTAGAAAGACCTATCTTTGAAAAATGCACTAAGGAAGATTCCAATCAATTCGACTATACTAAAATATCTTACTCAATCGAATATTTCTTTACTACACCAGTAACCATTTGTTTTGATATTGTCCTATGGCTTTTTTCGACTTGCATATGATATAACCATGATAATTGCTCATTTCTATTCAAACTATTGAAAAAAAAAGATCAACAACTTTATCATGTTGTTCAAAATTGGTACAGTGTCTATTTGAATTATATGCAACGAGAATCTGTGGCCTCTTTAAGTCACATGGAAAATCGACTGTCAAGTTTCGAATTCAAACTTAAAACGAACCAAGTTCTCAATGAAATTAGTTCATTGAATAACTGGTAACTTTTCTAGTATGTTCGATCTAAAGATATTGAAGGTTTAAAATTTTCTCATGTGTAAAAGCAAATCTTATTCAAATATCTACATCTCCAGAAAAGAAATAGTTGCACAATCAACTAATCTCATTCAGAACTTTGTTCATGTTAAGTTTGAAGCTGAAATTCAAAGGTCGATTTTCCATGTGATCTGAGGGACGGTCACAGCTTTTTGTTAATAAACTAAACCATTCTGAGTTTTTGTCTTAATCACTGGTATTCATCAAACCAACATTGTTTCGGTCGAAAAGCGACTGGATTAGTTCTGTAAATCTTCATATATGCTATATATCAGAATAAGATCTGTCGAAAAAACAAAGAAAGTTTTCGAAAGATAATATCTTTAACCAAAAGATTAATACAAAAACCAGCTTATATTAATACATCCTATTGAAATTTTTGCATGAAGTATTTTTATCCAAGAGAAGATAGAAAAAAGCTTCTATTGAGCGCTACTGCTGTCTAACATATTCTTTTTATTGTCTCACAACAAATTGTTTATATATATATGAATAACATCCAAGTAAAAATTTGTCGAATAGAATTCTTTATGGACAATATTAATTCGTACCCTTTTGTTATCAGATCAACATAGAAAGTACATTATAACTCGAAGATTCCAGGAACAAAAAAAATATTCGAATAGCACAAATGAATTTTGCTTTAACGATACTGAAAAATAGGAAAAAATTAATCATGATTATGATTCATAATAAATTTCTAGATAAAACAACAATGAAATATTTCTATTAGCCATTAAATTCATTTCTTTGCAATATTCTTGTTTAAAAACTTTATTTTACATGAATTTATTTCAACATATAAAAATTAGAAAGTATACATTCAGTTATTTTCATTTATTGTACCTGATTATCAAGTTTTTTGTACATAAACAAGTATATATGCATTTTTAGTGACGATATCTTTATCACTATCAAGTTTTCTAACATATCGATCATCAAATAAGTACCAATTTTCATCTTTGGTATTTTTGGCGTATGTTGTATAATGTCCAGACAGAAGACTACCGGTATGATTGGAAACGGCAATTAGATCATATTTTGTTGATGAACTATTTTCAGGTTTATTATCATTATCTGTTACTGTATATTCATTAAGATCAAGTCCATAAAGAGGAAATGAAATATATGTATCAATTTTTTCATTTGAATTAACGTCATACATGAATCTTTTCAATTGTATAATAAATACATGTGGTAATGGTAAACATAAATATGATTTATGTTGAGCTACAGTAGACTTTGAACATTTCAAACAGTGATAATCACCATCAAGGTAATCTTCACGAAAATAATCGGCTAATAAATTGGCTAACATTGATTTGTCAGTTGAATAATTGGTATTGTAGTATTTTTTGTAGATATCAACCCATTCAGTAGCCATTGCGATTTGTATACTACTTATGCTAGGTAAATCTTCATCTGTATTTGCTTCTACTTTCAGTGTACGTCGCATTTCGTTTCGATATATCCAATACAGATGAAAAGCAGAAGCTGGTGCATTCGTTGTAGAACAAAGATGACCAAGAAGTTGATCGATTTGATCTGACAGATGTAGATAAGTACAATTCTGATTCGGACAAATTAGAAGAGTCGGTGGACGGAATACTTTATTAGTGGAATGATCAATGAAATTACACCAAATATGTTTTTGATGAACGGACTTCTCTGGATATTCTACGATAGCAAGCTCTTCTTCACG